ATTGTTCTGGGTTCTGTGATTTTTCTGCAACATGATTCTCAACCTTAAATCTGAGGTAGGCAACGTTAAAGAATTAACAAGGGATATCTAGATTTTGGAAAACACACCCCCTCCCTCCAAACCACTCCATCAAAACATATTATGTGGCAGTAAGTACTGGGCAGGGTTTGCTTAGGTAGTTATTTCATTTGGACGGAGTGAAATGATTGGCTGTACTTATTACATGCCTGTGACAGCTACGGATACCTGGATGGAGAGAGATATATTTTTTTTTGTGTCCGAGCATTTGATTTATTGAAATAAGAGAATTTCAACAAATACCAAATGCTTCTAAAATTGCCTACCACGCTTTAATATAATGCAGTACAGTATTAAAGAATTTAAACCAATAACTTGAATGTCATTAGATTAGAAAACTATACGCTTTTTAAAATTTTGTCCTGCCTGCCTGATTTGAAGAGGATTCAAATATTTGGCATCTCTGTTTGCTAATGATTTTCCTACAACCCACAAGGTATGGCGATAAGTCGACGTCTTATGGGCAGCCAAGTTCCTATGCTGGCCAGGGGCAAGCAGCAGACAGCTATGGGCAGCAAAGCTCCTATGGTAGCCAAGGGCAAGGAGGTGGCAGCTATGGAAGATGGAGTGAAAGTACAAATACCTGGATCTTTTAATATGGACTACATCTGCATTCTAGTCTTAATGTCAGGTCGTGTATCTACTCATGAGATCTTTCTTTGCCCAGGTGAAAGTGGTGGTCAGGGTGGGCGGTTCGGACGTGACCAAGGAGACCGTTCAGAAGGAGGGGCCTACAGAGGCCGAGGCCGTGGTGGTTATGACCGTGGTGGTTATGATCGTGGCGGTTATGACCGCGGTGGATACGACCGTGGCGGAAGAGGTGGACCTCCTGGTATGGGGTAAGTTGCATAGTGCCACTGCCCCCAAGGTACCTCTATACACCTTAAAATATGAGACGTGATTCGTTGTAACTCAACACATCACTCATCAACTACAAAACTCCACATAGATAATTCATCTGCTTTATGCTACAGATCCCCAAACTCTGGTAATGTGTGTGTTTATTTTTTTTATTTTTTTCTTTTGTTTTCCAAAACCTGATTCATCTATAGTTGTCACAGATCACATTGGTAATGTTCACTACCCCCTGCATTGCTCCAGGTGCCTGAAACTTGCCCCCCAAAACCTGATTCACCTGAGGTTTTTACGTAAGACATACTGGTCTTAAATCCACATTGCTGTTAAGATCAAGTGATGGGTACTCACACATGTGGTGGTTAAGTAAATGTTGTTTGACCCTCTAAGGATGTACTTGTTTTTGGGGTCTTTAAAGAAAAGAAATGGAGACTGAACATGCCTGCACAAATGGGAGCTTTAAAGGCACCAGAGACCTAGTTGGACAACCATATTATCCCAGACTTTGGGACGGGTTTAGTATATTTTGCAACAGAACAGTTGCCAATTTTTCCATCAGCAAGGGCATAGTATCATTTTCAGAGCTGTACAGTATCTAGTGAAATTAAGAGCCGTACCTTAACACGTTTCTTTAAGGAGAATAATGCAGTACTAACTATCATAAGTACTTTAAGCATGGACAAACCTGTGCTCCACACTAAGATGCAAACTATGGTCCGTCCGCCCCCCATCCCCCCAGGTTAGCGCTGTCTTTGAAGAGATGAGTTAAGGTACCCACTACTTTCCCTCCTTGGGTTTTTTTTTCTTCTCGAGACCGGCTTTGGTATGATCTTAAAGCTCCACATGTTGGTGAACTTAAATTGTTGAGCCAACCGGTACAACAATGTTTTTTCTGTCTGTTGTACATATTATATATAGCCATAAACCATTTAAAAGAAATCAAAAGTTTATCTCCAGCAGCCATACTTTTGTTTTGTCGCCAGAAACTCAATTTTGTTTCTTGTGCGCGGAGGACCACATAATTGAACAATGGAAACTACTGAAACGATGTCCTTAGACCTGGAGCCACATCTTCAGCTGCTTCACATTCAACAGGTTTCATTCAAGTGTTGTATAATTGACAATGGAGAACATGTGTGTTGTGTTAACATGGATCTACATTTTATACTACAGGTGTTCAGAGTGATTGAACTTAAACTTGGACCTCAGATAAAGGATCTCATAAATGCATTCAGTGGATTGCTTATCCGTTGCTACACCCCTTCACACCAATTTGGCTTATCATGTTAAAACAAATTCCGCTGGTTTTCCAGCACTTGGTATTCAATCTGGCCATGTAAAGAAGAAAAAAGTACCAAATTCTTTGTAAATGGAGACCCTGACATGTAATCATTGTCTTCCCTCGTCTGCCTGATTGTTCAGTCAGCTGCCTAGTCGTCTGTTCATTGATCTCTAATGTCAAAGACTAACGTATTCCTCGTGTGAGACATTTCCACCATAGTCGCACACCCTGGCAGGAGTGCATACTGATGGGGATGTAGGGGAGCTTTGAGCTCTCAGTTGGGACAAAGGAAAAGCCATCATATCTCCAATTTTTCCTCTGCAGAGGTGGTGACCGTGGTGGCTACAAAATTACGGTGGTAAGTGACGAGCATCAGAACTGTGTCGGTGGGGGAGGAAAGAACTTGAGTTAGCAAAAAGAAAACGGGGATTTATAAAAAAAAAAAAAAAACAGTGAATGCCACCATTTTCATGTCCAGATCCCAAGGGACTCCACCTATTATTCTTAGCAGGATTTCTCATACATGACTTCAGATATGGTAAAGAACATGGAGCCTGAGTTGTAAATAATGGTATTGTTGCATGAAGACGAGGCTGATTGTAATGTCAGAGGTGTTCCCAGGACGAAGAAGGGAAAAACTTTCTAATTCTGGAGACATTTTGGTGGTTTTCATTTCTGGTGTAAGCTCAAGAAAACAGAACACTTCTGTTCTTGTTGCAAGGTGTTGGTATGCGGTGCAACGGTATGGAAACACCCATCAGAGAGCTGTAACATGGACATTGTTTAATTTTCTTTATCATTATGCATTGATAGGGACAAAGTTAATAATAATTTGTGTGAAAGTGTTTAAGGTCCCCTTGCTCAAGTCGTCTTTTCCATCCTCTCCTCTGTTTTACAGGCTCTCGAGACTACGGCTCAAGGGATGAACCAGGTAAGTCTTTTTTTTTTTTGCTTTTTTTTTTTTTTTTTTCATCACATGATTAAATAACCATGTACTGATCAATCAGTCCTACTCTATCCAGTCACTGTAATCTAATATCAGAATGTCTATCCACTTTTTGAAATTGCTTGATGGCACAGGCCATTTGGGATGACTTTGATGTGCCCTTACTTCAATCTATTGGGAATCTATCATCTAGAAATGTGTAACTTTACAGTGTTCCTGCAGCTCCTTTAGAGTCTTGAGATCAAATCAAGAAAATAAGGTCATAAATTGTCTTAAATTTACCGTAAACTGGATTTGGGTGTTAAATTTGCAGATAGTGTGTTTAAGGCTGGCGAGAAAATTGACTATCGTAACACATCTAATTAGTGTGTATTATGTTTAAGTTAGTTTTAGACAATGTGAGACCCCTCCCATTAATTTTTATTTTGTTAGCTACAAACCTTGACATCTGGCTGTGTCATTTTGTTATCGGCAGTTGGGGAGATGCGAGTTTAATGAAAAGTGGTTGTAGGGAGGTTCTGGAGGTGGTTAAGTTCACGTCGGGCACCGTGGGGTGAAAGCTGCTGAATACCACGAGTTTTAAAAATGTTACAGCGGTATTCAGTGGCTACTTGTGGGGCTATATAATGCCTGCATTGTTGGCATGTAGCAGACTTGAAAGTTCAGAGTCCCTCAACTTCTGGACAGTTGACTTTGAGCAGTTTTGTCACTGCCAGAGACACAGCGAGCAGGCACTATTCACTTAAATTAAATGATGACATATTGTAGTATTTGTCGCTCTGTTACCTGATTCGGGAATATGCAAAGTAATAAACCTATTATAGGAAACTCCTCTCTATCAAAGAAATAGTTTTTTGTGTGGTCTTAAATTGTATTTGTTGAGGTCTTAATGTCTTAAAGCATTGAACTTGATTAAAAAAGGAGCCACAACCCTGCTTTAACAAAAATAAAGTTTCAAGTTTTGATCATAAATTGTAATGAACTGAACATGGATATTCCCCAAACTCCCAGATTGGTATGCTTCTACAAGTCACCAAGAGTAAATTTTCCTCGGTTTCTCATAGATTCATATTTTCATTCATGTGATCAAGTCTTGTCTCCTATCTTTCTTCTTCAGATGGTGAGCAGGACAACTCTGACAACAACACCATTTTTGTCCAGGGACTGGGAGAAGATGCCACCGTTCAGGAAGTCGGCGACTTCTTCAAGCAAATTGGTATCATCAAGGTATTGAATTAGTCTCTTGGCATGTTAATTAAATTATATTGTAACATGTATCCTAGGACTTGATTAACATTTGCTATTTCTTTGTGAGCTACAGGTAAGCATCAACATATCGCACATCACAGCTTCATAAACATTACATGTACTGGTGTCTAAATCCAGCGCTTCTTCTTAATGTGTCCCTGACTTTAGATTTCTTGATGCAATCTTCAATTTCCTGCTGGTGTGGTACTATTGTACATTAACTATCAGGGAAAGCATCCTCATTGCCAACGGCTCCAGGTCAGCCCTATATCACCCTTCAAACCATAGACTGTGTATAAAAAGCTTCAAACTTTCCAACCAAACCAAAATGAGCCATGTTTTTCATAAATAAAACCTACTCTTAGCTCTCTGAACTTACAATATTAAAAGAAACTTCTTCTTTAAGCAAGTCACTAACATACAATGAATATCCAATATCCAATGAAAATATCTAATGAAATGTGTCCTGCATCACAGAATCAAGGCTGGTGGGTTTCTCATCACTACGTCTCAGCTTTTCTGTCCGGTGTAATGCTGACATGGTGAGCAGAGGAAGATTAAAAATCATAAGTAACAAATTAAGAAACAATGAAACGCCTTTTGTTACTGTTAGAGAAAGACATATCCATAAAAAATGTTTCTTTGTAATAATAAAATTCCTCTGTTTCACAACCAAGGCCAGATGGGAACCTGTACAAGACATTCAGGAACCAGTTCCTTGCTTACTTCTTGTACCAAAGTAAGGTCAAAATACTTGGGATAAGTACATGGTTGAAACGTTTCTAAATCATACCAAAGCGTGATCAGTTTTTCTTTCATCTGGAACACGCAGGTTTTGTTCAGTGTCTGCAGTGCTATTATCAGAGCGGGTGTCTGTACAGACTGCGAGCTCTGGGAGAAAGACACAACATGGATCTGACCGTGGGTGAGATAGACTGTACACACCAAGGACATGGAATACAGACGCACTGAGCATTTCATAATTAAAAATATTTAGTAGCACTTTTGAGAACCATGTCTGGGGCTGCTTGTCGTCACTGCTGTAACGACAGATGCATAAGTGGGAGTAAGAAAAAAGCCAAACACTTTAAACTCTTATCTGCTTTCTATTTATAGAGGGATTTCAGTCGTGGATGTGGAAAGGGCTGACGTTTCTTTTGCCCTTCCTCTTTTTTGGTCATGTGAGTATACAGTCTGTGACACAGAAGGATTGAAACTGATCTTGAGAAATTTCCTCTAACTACTCCTTAGTTTGCTTTAAAAATCATGCTTTGTCATGGTTTAGACTGGATGACACAAAAAACGCTGATGTCATTCTAGACGTAATGTTAGTCTGCGTATTTAGGTAAGTGGTGGAGAGTAAGTACAATTAAAGTACAGTCTTGAGGTACTTTTCATTTTATACAACTTCATATTTCTTACTCTATTATATTCATCTGACAGCTAAAGTGACTCTTCAGATTAAGATTTTATATTAACAATGATGATACATTTATATATACAACACAAGATCAAACCAGTGGTTCCCTGCTCTTTTGTTGTGTGGCTGCTTACAAAAAACAGTGTCCAATTGGGATTACATTTCAGTGGAAGAATATTCCCCAAAATACAGATTTTTGAAGCAGAATTGAGTTTTTTCATCTTTCCTACCCCATTTATCATCTCACGACCCATCAGATTTATCTTGTGACCCTTTGGAGGATGCCCACACCCTAATTCGGGAAGCACTGGACTAAATTCTATACAGAGTAGTAGACATGTTAATACATCAGTATTAACAATCTAATAATGTATTACATAATATAATATATCAGCTCCAGGGATAATTTTCTGAGAATACTTCTGTACTTTTACTTAAGTGCAATGATTTTTACTTGTGACAGAGCATTTCTATATTGTGGTATTGGTTAAGCAAACTTATCTGGAAAACATCTTAACCTTTAGTGTGTCTTGTGTTCGTGCAGATGCAAACTATATCCATTCACTTTTAACAAAACAAAACCCTTAAGTCTCATGTTTTGTCTTGTAGTTCTGGCAGCTCTTCAATAGCCTCTCTCTCTTCAAAATGGCTCAGCTCCCAGACTGTAAAGAATGGCAGGTCAGTGCTTTCAAGGTCACCAATTTTCATATTGCCACGTTCCTGCTTTTCAAATGTACTGTATCTATTCATCTTCCATCTACACGGCACTAATACCTCATTATTTTCTTACAATGTACAACTAGAGGGCTTACTATTTGTATGGCCAGAACACTGTGTTCACATTTGATCAGATATATTACTGACATTCTACTGTTACATTATAATGTATTTTTGTATCTATTTTCAATAGTTTTTCTCTGTGAAATCTACCTGTATAGAGCTACACTGTATTAAGCTTCCTCACATATTGTTCTCTCTGTTCCACGTGATGCCAGGTCCTGATGTGTGGTCTCTGCTTCCTTATTCTGTTCATGGGAAACTTCTTCACTACTGTCGCCGTGGTCCGCCAGAAGCTGAAGAGCAGGAATCAGAAACTAAAGAATATGTGATATATACTAATAAATGAAAAAAAAACAACATCTCTACAAAATGGTGTCTTACATGTTCCACTGCAAATTAAACTCATCATCATTATTGCCATCATTAACAATATTTGTCGTGCTATTATCTTATAAAATTATTATAAGTCTAATGGCAATTATTACAAAATATGTACAGTAGATACAGTAATATAAAAATTGTGTTATAATGTGTAATAATCGATCACCACTGAGGGTAGATTATGATCCACAATACCTCCATGTTCTTATATTTATATAATTATGTAATTAGTAAAATTACATAAAAATGAAAAATAAAAGAAAATAAACAAAAGCACCCTCCAATAAAGTATATCATCACACCATCCTCTGTGAAGCTGTTTTTAGTATTTCTACATAGTTTGTGCTTGTGCATAGGTGTGTCTGAATCTGTCTGATTCTATCCCTGCCCTTTATTCATTTGTTTCAAGTTTGGTCTCTAAATTCAGAGTTTCCCTGCAGGGATTAAAAAACCACATCCCATTTTATGTCATTATGTTTACTTTAATCAGTTATCTTCTCCCTGTGTTTAGCTAACAATGCAAAGCATTGCAGCCTTAACAGAAGACCGGGTTGTAGCTTGGTTCATTCACTCATGTAATGTATTTAAGTATAATTTTAAATTACTTGTTATTACTTAAGCACATCAATTTTCTGTTATTGTACTACTTCACTACATTACAAAGGAAAATGCTGTATTTCTTACTCCACAACGTTTACCTAAAAGCAATAGAAACTAGTTATTTTGCATATTAAGATTTTATATACAAAATCTGTGATGAGCATTTAAAATAAGACTTGTTGTAGATAAAACTACAACACTGTGCTATAAATGTACCTGCCTTCAAATGTTTAATTTAATACAGGAATATTAGCAATAAAACTTAAACTATGAAATGTCATTCTGCACAATTGCCCCTGTCAGTGGTATATTACTGCATATCACTGCATCATTATTATTGATATATTAACATGTTAGCAGTACTTAAATGTTGTCATTTCAAGGTGGAGCTAATTTTAATGTTACACTAGATAGTTCATTATATAACAATGCTTCATATTTCATAGTGATTAGTTTTAAATTTCAATCTGAAAAGTAACTATAGCTGTTAATTAAATGGAGTGGAGTAAAAAGTACTGTAAAGTGGACATTTCCCTGTGAAATACATTGGACGAGAGGTATAAAGTATAAGCCAGACGCACAAATAGATAGAGTACTTGATTAATCCCAGTGGGAAATTGCAGAAAAACAATCCGCAAACATAATAAGGATTCACAAAGAGGTACATAAGAAGATAGAAATACAAAAACACATAAGTTCTTAACTAGAAATCGAATTAAAACTAAAAAATTGTAAAATACTAATAAAATTGATAGTGCCTGGTAATATTATGTACATGGTTAATGCATGTCCAGTAGATACTGTACAGTATATTGTTATTTATTGATATGGCAAAGTGCTTCATTGGAATTGCATAAGTGAGTATTGGAATATCTACAATGAATATATGTACACACACACACACACACACACACACACATACACACACACATACACACACACACAGTTAAGATACAAATACTAATAGATAAAGTTCAAAATTGTACTTAGGTACATTATTTTAATAGCTCCACTAAGTTACTCCTGTGTTGCCAAGGGTCAATATACTCCCAAATGATTACCATTACCTTTGATACCTCGAGTACATTTTGGTGTTACTTGTTCTGAACTTTAGTAAGACTGAATGCAAGCCTTTTTCTTATAACAGAGTATTTTTTTAACATGGCTTTACTTTTTCTTTACAACAACCACATGGGTTACTGCACTGTCAAACATATGTGCTTAATTATGTCAACATAAACACCCTTAATATTTGATGAGTCTGCCTCTCAATCTGTCATGGATACACAGTTTGTCCTGCTGCTTGCATTACATAACCATGACCCTTTGCCTGCTGCACCTCAACAGTTATTTGTCATAGTACAAAAACAGATAACTTCTTAACTAGAGATTGAACTAAAACTAAAAAGTAGTAAAATACTCTTAACACAGACAATGATAGTGCCTGGTAATATTATGTACATGGTTAATGCATGTCCAGTAGATACTGTACAGTATATTGTTATTTATTGATATGGCAAAGTGCTTTATCTGAATTGCATAAATGAGTATTGGAATATCTACAATGAATATATGTACACACACACACACACACACACACACACACACACACACACACACACACGCACAGTTAAGATACCAATAATAATAAGTAAAGTTCAAAATTGTTACTTAAGTAGCTGCACCAAGTTACCCCTGAGTTGACAGGGGTCAATATACTTCCAAATGATTACTATTACTTTTGATACTTCAAATACATTTTGGTGTTTCTAGTTCTGAACTTTATAAGTATTTTTATAACATGGCTTTACTTTTTCTTTACAACAACCATAGGGTTTACTGCACTGTGAAACATATGTCCTAGGTTATGTCAACATAAACACCTCTGCCTCTCAATCTGTCATGGATACACAGTTTGTCCTGCTGATTGTATTACATAACCATGAACCTTTGCCTGCTGCACCTCAACAGTTATTTATCGTAGTGGGTTATCTTTGTACACCGGTCCAAATTGAAATAAAATGAAAAAATAAACACGCTTAATTTCTTTGAACCATTTAAAATCACAAACACACCCGTATCTTCTTAAAAAGAATATATCCCTATGCAAGATTTATTTGGTGTTGAAAGTGCAACAGTCCTCTCCCCCCCCGCTGCCAGGACCGAGTTGGTTTGATCCTACATGGCGTAAAGTTTCCTTCCGTGTTGAGCACAGTGTCAGCCTGGCACAAAAGAGTGGAGGCAAAGGTAAGCACAAGACCTAACTCACCTTTTTAAAAGGTTTTACATCACGCTGTAGTCTGTGGCAGTCTGGGGGAATTACACGTCAGCGATGATAGATTAACACCGGAGCTTGAAACCTAAAGTACAGAAGACATGTTCATCTTTTTCTTTGAACCATTAGCTTAAGAGAAATGCTGACTCCACTGTTACGCAAAATGAGGCTAACTTATAGGTCGTTTCTTAGCATGTGTAAAATACATTAGATTTAATTAGCTTTTGTACCTATCAGATATCACCCAACACTGTTTAGTTTCTTAATTAACATGTGTATATGTATTTTTAACAGCACATTGTTTTTATTCAGTGTTGTCACGGTCCAGGGAATAGCCAGGGCCCTAAGTTCATTCCCGCTGGCTATCCTTGTCATTTTCCTCGTTTTATCTAAAGGGGTATTTCTTAACATTAAAACATCTCATTAGCAAAACTAGTTAAACTGGTGTCTACGTTTCATGACGTTGGGCTTCACACACACGCTGTCTGAAACCGGTGCTAGTATCTCGACTGTTGCAAAACTGTTCAAGTTGAGCAGAAAGAGGTGAATTGTGAGGGTGAACTCCAGTGAACTTCGGGTATGTCTGGTTCGTTGATCATTTAAAACCCTAGTGGGACAGCTATTGAAATGTATTTAACTTGGCAACTAATCAAACTCTCACATGATTATGATAAGAGTTAACCAGGCGTTGGCGTGAAGTTGAACCTACAGTGTAATGATACATAGTGTGTCTGTCAACTCTGTGGCTTTACCCACTGTGTCAGAGGTATTAGGGATAGTGTGAAAACAAGCAGACTGTTATTTTGAACAACTTTTAAATTTGAAGTGAACTTGATCTATCAGGTAAGCTCTTGTTTTCCCTCATGTATTTTCTTTGACAGGGCAAACGTGTGTGAGAAATAAACAAAGAAAAAACAGAATTAGTAATTAAATGTGTAGTTATCACATCAAAGGTTGCCTATGTTGTTAGGTTTGTCTGTAACTTTTAATATCCATGTAAAACACACTGTGAACTGGAGAGAGGAGGCACTTGTGTTTTCTGTTTGGGCTGCTAATTAATCCTGCGGGGAGGTCACCAAGGAAAGTAGGTATGGATACTATATCATAACAGACCGAAGACTGAGAAGTGATGTAGTTTGCGGCCATTACCTTTTTAGCTTCACGTCAGTTGGCAGTTTATTAGGTACATCTAGCTAAAACTAATGTAATATTTATTCTACCCTTACTGATATAAATGGGGTTTTAGCTAGGCGTACCTTACAAACTGGAAAATATAGCATCCATACGGAGCAATCAATAAATTGGCCAGGCAGATATATTGTCTAATGTAAGCTCATTGTGAATATATCTGATCTGTACAGAAATGCCACTTGCATGTTTAGTTTATTTTACAGTTTATTTTATGAAATGTTCCACTTATCACAATTCTTTAAAAAACAAAATCCTTATCACATTAAGTGTTTATGTTTAAAAAAAAAAAAAGACTATTGGCTAATGTATTGTTATCAGACTTTTAAAACGCTTAAACATCTATCAGCCTTAAACATCCAGCATTGGTCAGGTGATATATTTGGTTTAGGGCACAATTGGATGCTATTATAAAACTAAACAATTTTGACAGACCAGGTAAACATATTGACAAAGCTACTGTCACGTTAATTTTAGTGTCTGACTTGGTTTGAAATGCTTGTTGTCTGGTGATTATTAATCACCTATCACTGATTATAGAAAATGCTCCAGTAAATAATGTCAGACATTTAGTAAAAGATGGTCACACACATTGCAGTTCACTTTTCTGTGGAAAATATCTAATTGTTCTATTTGTGAATCACCAGCAAGTGTTTGGTACACTGGTACCTCTGTACATATAAGTTGAAGTGGTGTGATTTAACATATCAGTGAGTCAGCAGTCTAGTGTGTACATGGCTGTGTCATTCAAACTCTTCTCTAGTTGAGTCCACTTCAGATTTAAAAAAAACAAAACAAGTCTCATTGTTTTCACTCCTTGAACCAAACTGAAACTTGAGCGCTCAGAACATGAAGTCCTTTCGTGCTCAGTGTGAAAAGAGCCGCTGTTGTTGGTACACGACAAGATAAACTTCATGGATCGAATGCAGCGGGTTACAATGTTAGAGAATAGACTAGAACCAAATGTCCAATAATGCTTGCATAAAAGCTGCCATTGTATGATATGGCAGGAAGAATACTGCTCACACTCACGTTAGCAGTCATAGTTCTGTGCAGCAGGTTAACCAGTTTTGTTCAGCTGGAATTTTAACCAGAGGCTTAATAGATTTATTATTATTTTAATAAATGCAGATTTTAAATTACAGCTTGCTGTCCTTGCAACTTATCTTAAACACATTCATCACAAGTTGAGAAAAACAAACAATATTCGGTACAAGAAAGGCATTTGATGGCACATATTATCCTAATCTGTGTCGTTTATATAACCATTATAAAGATAATGATTAACTTATAAATAAATCTATTGGAAAGTTTTTTTCTGTATAATAGTGAAAAAATAACATCCCCAGAGTCAAAACTAATGTCTTCAAACTGTTTATTTAGTCTAATCAACGGTCCAAAAACCCAAATGGATTTATTATACAATCATATGAGCTGGAAGTGGCAAATATTTGCTCCACTCGATAAATGGGGGGAAAAAATGATTGACTAGTAGACTGGTCTAAAGCTGTGTTTTATTTTGTCTGCATGTAGTGTCAACTATCACAGACATGGATGCTGAGACCCCCACCCGCACCGAGCCCATGGCGGATGAAGAGGAGTCTCTGTTCAGCAACCTGGACCTCTTCCTTTTCTCCCTGATTGTCGGCCTTGTCATTTATTGGTTCGTGTCCCGCAAGAAGCCGGAGCCCATCCCTGAATTCAAGAAGCTCGACACACCGTGAGTATCTGTCATGGTGTACCTGGGTTTAAATTAAAACATAGTTTGGAGGATAAGCAGGTTCCAGTGTAGATCTGACTATATCTAAATATATTAAAATAATGAAGGCTGCTGCGGAATAAAGAAACAAGCTGTGTGTGTGGTCATGTTTTGTCATTTATTCATTTTATCTTGGTGTAGTAAGAGGCTATTTATTTAATCAGAGTCTTCATTAGAGTATATTTACTTGTAGATCAGTATAGGTGATCCAATAATCTGCCTGTGTCTTATTACATGATAAGAAATTAGACAGAAACGAGTACAGTGGGTCGTCAAGTTGTCACTAATGTGCCCTGAGGCAAGTATGTGAGAGTGCACGGCTTAGAGCTTGTAAATGTTCCACTAGAAACAACCTTTGTGTCCTCTCTCCCTGTCCTGTTCTCTCCTTTCATCACTTATCAGTGGAGTAATGGGGGCTTGGCTTGATTTCAATGGACTCTCCATCCATTGGTCACATTTCTAAGTCCCTCCCCAACCACATCACAATTTCTTTGGTCACCAGAGTAAAGCCACGGGCCAGCAGGAGCTGTGTGGCCGAGGTCTTGCCTGGTTGTGAGAATGGAGACTGAGTGGGGGCCATTTGTGTGAAAACAGGAGGTCTGCTAGAAAGGGGGAAAGACCCCCGTAGAGCATGATTTGCTTTGGGAGGATTGTGTATCTGTGGAGGGAGGGAATACAGGAAAGGGAATATGGAGCAGCACAAGCTAGTCTCCCCTCCCCTTAAAGGGAGCAGTGATTACCTAACTGTTATGAAGGGGGCGTAGTCTTCCATGTCTTTCCTGTGCTTTTGTTTTTGGCCCTGAACCCATTTTGAAAGTTCCCTGGAGAGCAAACGAGGAGGGCGAGCCAAGCTCCTTTTGTGAGTCCTCTCCAAAGGTGGAAAGTTGAGGCAAAAGACAAGCAACCCTTTCTTTGCCCTGAGTTACTTACTTTTTTTTTTCATTCTTCTTTTCCCCACTCCCCTGTTTTTCTTTTCAGTTTGGTGTGTGCATGTGTGGGCTGAGCTGCTCTGCCATTGGAGTAGGGCCATGTCACAAATGAAATCCTTTTATGATAAATGAGGTTACCATAGCAATGACATTCCCCTCTCTCCTCCAGTGAGATGGGGGCGGGGGATCCTTCAGGGAAAAAAAGAAAAAAAGAAACTACCATTCACAGCTCTCCCCACCGAGGAGTCTCTCTGATAACCAGCCAAATTCTCAGAATGGATCTTATGGACTTTTTCGTTCCCAACACCTTTCAGACCGGAGAGGAAAAGGGGCGGGGATAAGGAGGAAGGCATTTTCAGCCCGAGAGTGTTTCAGTGTGTGTTTGTGAGTCAAAAGTGTGGGTCTGCAGCTCAGCTACGTTTTATGGGAAAGTCAGTTTCCCACCATTGTGTCCTCAGCAGTTGCCAGACACTGACAAGGCTTGTAGGGTGTGTGTGTGTGTGTGTGTGGTGGAGTTTTCTGTGTGTGGAGACCAGACGCTGCTGGTTTCAGAGGCAGAGTTCAGATCGTGTTGGAGCCTCTGAGGTGAAGGCAGGCGGCTCTTCCAAACCTGCGAATGTCCTGCTGCCTTTCTGGACTGCATTCGTTTTTCCATCCTGTGGTTGTGGAGTCCTGCTTTTGATTTTGAGCGTGGCGGTTCCCGGCGTGGCCTAGCCAGTAGTGCTAGTGGCAGTGGTGAGCTACAGGGCTGCATGCCATGGGCTGTGTCTTCTCCCTGCCAGAGGACAGGAGAGATGCTGCTGAGAGGTCAGTAAAGTGTTTGATTTACTGCTCCGTCTAACGCACAATAAGAGTTTTCTTTTAATGACAGATAATTGTTAAATCCTGCTGTTAATTTTGATAGCCAAGTTTTGCTTGACACCTTGTAAGTGATAAGTCAGTAGTCAGTGGTGGCTTGTTTCCAAAGTGAGCTCTGCGCACACAGTCATTAACTTGTTTCTAGCATAAACTGTCAAGATAGTGTTTTCACAAAGCCTACAACATTCCCAATAGGTTATGTAAGAGGTGGTCATAAAATGCATTCGACTACAAACATAATTTAATTATTGGTTCATCTGCCCCCCCACACTTTTTCCACAAGCTCTTCACATGCTGTTCAGTCACTTATGATGTTGCCATCATTGTCTGCACATATGTCCAGCCTTGTTTAATCAGTAAACAAATGTAGAGTAGCATTTGTTAGGGGTGGGAGTGTTTTAAATTAAAAGCCAGGTTGCAAAACAAAAAAACAGGTGTGAGGTGTATCATGATCACCTCCACGTTTGACAGAGCCTGTGTTGCAGAGCTGAAGACTGAACCGATTCAGCATTAGAAAAGGTTTAGTTCCTGGATGGATTCATGAATGGAAAGTTGATTTTGACAGTATATACACATGCACTTGCACTGTAAATACTTCAGTGACTAAACGCCAGTGTGCATGAGAAAGGAAATGATGTCCAAGATTATGAGCCATTTGCGTGTTGTTAATTATCTGCTAACTGTGCCAGTTTGACTCTAAGTAACCTATCAGAATATTATTAAATAATAGTTTGTACTTGGAGTTACAAAGATGGGGTTATTAATCAAAACATATCTTTTGCTGTATTTACTACATGTTTAATTTTACACACGCTCAAGATAATTTTAAGCCTTTTGTCGGTCACAGTTTTCAGATACTGCATAGATTTTTAACTCCCAGCTCTTTTCGAATGATGCACAGAAGATCCTTCCTGTTGAGTGGCAGCGGGGCCGGTGAGTGTCTCGGCTGATAACATTTCAGACAGATCCTGCCAAAGCTGTCAGGAATGCTTCAGCTCGGGGGCAAAGGCTTGTTTCAAATTTCAATAAGGCTTTTACACTTTGCTTCAGAGTTAGCAGTCTGTATAAACCACGGGGGCCCGTTGTTATGCCACGTCGGGCATCAGTCCCACATGCCTGCACACCGCCGTGCTGTGGATGGGTTCTGTAGGTTGGAAATTGTTTGTGTGAGAGACAAAATGAAATCAGATGCTCTTAAATACATCCAAGGTGAAATATAGCAAAAGCATGTATTGTCTGTATTTCTCTAAGCTTTTGTGGCTATCCTACAGTCCTTGTCTGAAAATATATTCATCTGGCATACTGTTTCTGCTTGTAGTTATGTGCAGCCGTTTTGTTCCTTTTTCAGTGCAGACAGAATTGCAGCTGTTCCCTCAGACCTTTTGATGCTAAGGGAAGCGGCGTTGCCTTTAATTTTGCTTGATAATAGATTTTACTGCCCGTGCCTTTTTATTTATTTTTTTCTTCAAACCCTGTTTGCACGTGTTATTTTGATCTGTTCCCATCCATTAATTACTTCCTGGATAAACCTGAATCAAATTACCATTGAATTACCACGAGGGGCCTATTGCATGCTTATGCTTAGTAAGTGCTTGTGATTACGGTCTGCATGACTAGCGCTTGTGTGGCTGCTTAGTCACCGCTCTGCTTCTCCTGGATGTTGTAAGAATAACTTGGAATAGACGGTTTTCCCACATTGCCTAAGTGTTGGTTGCAATATGTTTATTTAGATGCTGATTATTTAAAAATCTGTTCATTCGGACTAAATGATATGGCTGAAATCTATAAAATTAAGCTAATACAGTATTTTTCAGATATTATTATTTATCACAATGTGGCACCTTAATGAAAACGTTTACGCTTTTACGCATAAAATAATCAAAATTGATGTTTATGCAATACATCAGACAAAACTCACACACGTAAAACTCAAACTAAATAATTCATTTTTCTTAGTTTTTAGTATGTTTAAGTATGAATCATTAATTTGGAAGTCAAAGGAAGTCTGTAAATGATTTTGTTTTATCGACCAGTTCTAGTGTATTGTTGAGCTTGTTTGAACCACATAACCCCATGGGACCTTTTAATAACATAGCATTACCTTCTCCTGGTTCATTAGTTATTCCGTCACCTTTTGCTCTCTAAATAAAAGAACGCTTGTGGCGTGAATCCTTTTTTATTGATCTTCCTGGCCTCAATCTGAGCTTTAAATGCTCCACTGTTCCCTACCTGTTGTTTGGTCAGAGGTATAATCTGTGATCTGGACATCAACGAAAGGGTCAACGCCCAACAGCGAAGTCAGAACACAGATTTGGAGCCTTCTGCTTGTGATCGAGTTAGATCATTGAGTCAAATGTCTTACTAACAAATCAAATCTGTTTTGTTTTTTCCAGAGCACCCACCACGAGAGAGACAAGTTTCATCGAGAAAATGAAGAAAACAGTGAGTGATATTTTTATTGTTTTCAGTCAGCATTTCCACATTTCATTTGTGTTACAGGTCAGCAGTTTCATTTCGCCAACATATTGTCGATAAATTCTCCAGGAGCACTTTTTGTTGCTCTTGTTCCAAAACATGACTCAGGGTTTTAAAAGAAGACTGTGAGCCATCACCATGAGACAGTTTTTGTGTCCCTTCACCGCATGTTGATTGACCTTGAAGTTGTTTCCCCCCTTAGTAAAAACCTGTTTGATGCGCAAGTTAAAATGCTTAAGTTCGTTTCAGCAGATATTTTGATTTATGACCTGTAGGCAGAAAAAAAACATTAATTAAAATGCTATGTTGTTTTCCTCCTCTTCTTCTGCTCTGTGGATGATGACTACAATGGCCTCCCTGCTTGACAATATGCTAGATGTTCTAGATTTAGAAACACTGTTTTGACTGACTGTTTTCAAGCCAGCCTTGACAAAAAGACTTGGTTTTGAATCATGTGGTTTTGTTGCAAATAGTTCAGATACCATGATGGTGGCAGAAAATAACTTTTGGCCCCTAGTGCTATTTAAATTTGTCTTTTTCTTTGTTACGAATTATCATGGCAACATTGTAGGCAAGGATAAAAATTTCAAAATCTTTCAAAATATCTACAGCATCTGTACTTGACCATTGCCTATGTTTCATAAAGTAGCCCGTAGAAATGAGAAATGGGTTAGCTTTTTATTTTAGTTTTTAAATGCACCGTATAAATGTCTTTCCATAATTTGTAACCAGGGCAAGAACATCATTGTGTTCTACGGCTCCCAGACGGGCACAGCAGAGGAATTTGCCAACAGACTGTCCAAAGATGCTCAGCGCTATGGCATGAAAGGAATGGCTGCGGATCCAGAGGAGTATGACATGGTAATAGGCATCAGGGGAACAACATACAAACCACAGAATTCTTTTGGACGTTACTCATTATAGCTGCCAGTAAATGATTTGTGGTCGTGTAAAAAAAGCATCACTGCAGTGCTGAAGAAGTCACACCTCAATGATGACAATCTGAAACTTCTGCCTCATCCAGACTTTTGTGAGTTTGATAATATAATACAGATTCTAAATGAGCCAAATAACTGCCAGGGTAATATGATATCTGCTAATTATAAATTCACTGCTCTAAAATAAAACATGTCCATGGAAGACCCAAGGACAGCACACGCTCATATCGACACATATTTCAAAACAGTAATACAAATTGCACAATATTATGACCTCAGGCTTTATCCAAGAATGTGTCGCAACACTGCGGTGAGAACAAGTAGTAGAATAGATAATATACTTTTGATTTGTTAGTAGTATGTAATAACTTGCAAGCTCTTGAGGGAGCCGGTCTGATATTCAAGACAAACTTCCTTAAAATGATGAGTCCTTCAGTGCTCACTGTCTCCGATTCTGATGTCTCCATTTTCCAGGGGAACTATCCCGTCTGTCTGATATTAAAAACTCCCTTGCCATATTTTGCATGGCCACCTACGGTGAAGGAGACCCAACAGATAATGCCCAGGACTTCTATGACTGGCTGCAGGAAAATGATGACGAAGACCTCTCCGGGCTAAACTACACTGTGAGTCTTTACGCTCAAGTTTAAGTATACACGAAGTCTTTTCAAATTCTTTCAGGCTTGTAAGGCATGCTGAGAATAGGATAACTTGTCATAAAAAGTAATTTCATAGGAAGTGCGTTGCCCATTTAGTAAGAAAAACACAAAGCACTAAAGGGAAAGCAAAATGCATAGTGTGCATGATGTCAGTGACCAGAGATTGTGTTACATTTGCTGTTCTGCGTGTGTGCGAGCTTTGTTTCATGCAGCCAAAAATAATTTTGATTATCAGTTACACTCAGTTATTTTCTCAGTTAATCGTTTGGTTGATACAACATCATAAGACAGTGAAAAATGCCCATCACAATATCCTAGCGTCCAATGATATTGTTGTTTTGTCTGACCCAAACCCCAAAATATCCAATTTATTGTAATTTAAGACCAAGAAAAGCAATTAATTATCACATAAGAGATTCTGGAACTATCAAACATTTAGCATTTTTGCTTAAACTATTAATAGTTTAAGTAATTTTTATCAAAATATTTGCAGATTAATGTTCAATTGGTTAATGGACTTAGCAGCTTGTGTTTTTCAATGTACACATTTACTGTATAGCTTCTGTTTTGCTCGCTGCCTACACCCCTGCACTATAATGAAAGGTGATTCCGTTTTTAAAGAATGCAAATGATTTCCATTTGATATTTTTTAGAGGTAATGTTGCAGATTTTGTTCACTATTTCTGCCTCACGCTACGTCAGGTTGCATGTCTGTCTTTTGTGTGCATCATTAATGAAAGGGCTTTGTGTTTGCGTGTGTGTCATTGTTGGGATGCAGCGCCTCTGGCCTCATTTCAGTGAAGAACTGTGTTGTAGGAAATCTAGTTAAATTCTTGGGCACAGTCACATCCTTCCTCCCGTATTATCTATTGTCTCTCTGGTCTGTATTAGAGCAGCTCCATACATGACAGTCACTGAGAGGTTTGCAGGGCCTCTTATAAGACATCAGTTTGGCCTGTTGTTTTCATTTTATATTTTAGAAGAATAAATTGCCTGATGACAACAACTTGATGATATGTTCACCCTTAAACTGAAAAGTAGTCAAATATCTGCACTAGTTAATTAATTTTAGATTAATAATGGCAACTTTTAATAATTGAAAATCATAAGTACTCTTATTTCCAGCTTTTGTTTGTTTGGTTCAGGATTGAGCCAAGGCTGCTAACTCTGTTCTGTCTCCAGGTATTTGCTTTGGGCAACAAGACCTATGAACACTACAATGCAATGGGAAAATATGTTGATAAAAGGCTGGAAGAACTTGGGGCCAAGCGCATCTTTGACCTTGGTTTAGGAGATGATGATGGCAAGTAAGTGACCTTTTAGCCTTTGACTTAACATTTCTTTGGATATTGAAGTGTTCAGTGCAGCACAAATAACTTTGTTACAGTGAGGAAAATAAGTATTTGAACACCCTGCTATTTTGCAAGTTCTCCCACTTAGAAATCATGGAGGGGTCTGAAATTGTCATCGTAGGTGCATGTCCACTGTGAGAGACATAATCTAAAAAAAAATATCCAGAAATCACAATGTATGATTTTTTTAACTATTTATTTGTATGATACAGCTGCAAATAAGTATTTGAACACCTGAGAAAATCAATGTTAATATTTGGTACAGTAGCCTTTGTTTGCAACAGAGGTCAAACGTTTCCTGTAGTTTTTCACCAGGTTTGCACACTGCAGGAGGGATTTTGGCCCACTCCTCCACACAGATCTTCTCTAGATCAGTCAGGTTTCTGGGCTGTCGCTGAGAAACACGGAGTTTGAGCTCCCTCCAAAGATTCTCTATTGGGTTTAGGTCTGGAGACTGGCTAGGCCACGCCAGAACCTTGATATGCTTCTTACAGAGCCACTCCTTGGTTATCCTGGCTGTGTGCTTCGGGTCATTGTCATGTTGGAAGACCCAGCCTCGACCCATCTTCAATGCTCTAACTGAGGGAAGGAGGTTGTTCCCCAAAATCTCGCAATACATGGCCCCGGTCATCCTCTCCTTAATACAGTGCAGTCGCCCTGTCCCGTGTGCACAAAAACACCCCCAAAGCATGATGCTACCACCCCCATGCTTCACAGTAGGGATGGTGTTCTTGGGATGGTACTCATCATTCTTCTTCCTCCAAACACGGTTAGTGGAATTATGACCAAAAAGTTCTGTTTTGGTCTCATCTGACCACATGACTTTCTCCCATGACTCCTCTGGATCATCCAAATGGTCATTGGCAAACTGAAGACGGGCCTTGACATTTGCTGGTTTAAGCAGGGGAACCTTCCGTGCCATGCATCATTTCAAACCACGACGTTTTAGTGTATTACCAACAGTAACCTTGGAAACGGTGGTCCCAGCTCTTTTCAGGTCATTGACCAGCTCCTCCCGTGTAGTTCTGGTCTGATTTCTCACCTTTCTTAGGATCATTGAGACCCCACGAGGTGAGATCTTGCATGGAGCCCCGGTCTGAGGGAGATTGACAGTCATGTTTAGCTTCTTCCATTTTCTAATGATTGCTCCAACAGTGGACCTTTTTTCACCAAGCTGCTTGGCAATTTCCCCGTAGCCCTTTCCAGCCTTGTGGAGGTGTACAATTTTGTCTCTAGTGTCTTTGGACAGCTCTTTGGTCTTGGTCATGTTAGTAGTTGGATTCTTACTGATTGTATGGGGTGGACAGGTGTCTTTATGCAGCTAACGACCTCAAACAGGTGCATCTAATTTAGGATAATAAATGGAGTGGAGGTGGACATTTTGAAGGCAGACTAACAGGTCTTTGAGTCAGAATTCTAGCTGATAGACAAGTGTTCAAATACTTATTTGCAGCTGTATCATACAAATAAATAGTTAAATAATCATACATTGTGATTTTTGGATTATTTTTTTTAGATTATGTCTCTCACAGTGGACATGCAATTACGATGACAATTTCAGACCCCTCCATGATTTCTAAGTGGGAGAACTTGCAAAATAGCAGGGTGTTCAAATACTTATTTTCCTCACTGTATGTGTAATTGCGTGGTTGGCAATATGATATTAGAACAGTCTAACAAGTATTCACAAACAAATGTCAAGATATATTACTCGTAAAAAAACACAAGCACAAAAATGTATTACTTTTGAATGAGCCATTTCTGTCTACATACACTGTGGGTCCCCTTACATGGATGCAGTCACTAGATTGAATATACAAAGAAGAACAACAAGTAATGGTAGTAGCAAAAAAAGGCAGTGAAGAGAGAAATAGATGTGAGAGTAAGCTACTCATTGGGATACGAGTACAAATCCATTAAAAAGAGAAACATAAATGCTGTGTGGCACACCTCGATAGCGCCCAAGCCTACTTATATTTGTAGAATGTACATGGTTGTCATTGTAAATAAGAAGTCTAATTTGTTGCACAAGGGTGAATTCAACTGTCTTTCTCAGCTGACTGGCCTGGTTTTGTGTTTCAGTCTGGAAGAGGACTTTGTTTCATGGAGAGAGCAGTTCTGGCCGGCCGTCTGTGAGCACTTTGGAGTTGAAGCCTTAGGAGATGAATCAAGGTTCATTATTGCTTTTCAATTACTTTGTTTTTGTCCCCATGATTCTTAAATTGTCTTGTCTTCACCCTCAACAATCTTTCCTCGCACTCTCACTCTTTACCATCTTATAGGTAACATTATACAGGCGAACTCACAAACACATTCACCTTTTACTTCAGAACACATGCGTTCGATTTAAAGGTGGGGTATGCGATTCTGGAGTTATTCAATACCATGATATAGAGTGAGCAAAGACACGGCAAGTAATGTAACTAACGTTAGCTAAGTTGTGTATCGGCAAACTGTCGCTAAAGTTGCAGCTGCGAAGCTAACATGCAGAGACGGTGAGACAGTCCCAGAGCCAGCAAACCAACTCCAGACAGCGATACTCACAACTCTCCTCCTTCTATAGCTAACATCAAATCAAGCATGTCTTGGTAAACTAGAAAGTAAGCTGAATGTCTGTGGGTAAGTCATTTAATGTTACGTGACACACAAATCGTGACTGGAACAGGGTTGGAATAGTGGTCCACTGTACTACTTTGTTTCCCATTTAGAGAGCCAGGGCAGTGTACACACACTGTTTTCTTTTTCAGCGCACACACAGAACAGACAGCTAGCGGACTGTGAGGAGATGTTCGCTGAATTTGACAAAAAGACGTACTGGATTAGAATCGCTGACCCCGCCTTTTAAGTAACACATTGTCTCACATGAAAGGTAGTTTTTTCACATGCCTATTTTTCAGTGAGCGAAGATGGCCATATTTTCAGGTCGGCTGCAATTCCTTTAGTAGAAAGACAGGCAGTGAAAGATCCTCGAGCCAAAATCTTTTTTGTTTTCTCTTTACTTCAAACATCCATATCTTGACTAAGACTTGTTATATAATGCTCAATCAGGACCTGGTTTATGGTAAACATCACCTTACATCTGTATGTGAAATTAATAATTGCTAAGAATTATTTTTAAGTATTATTTGACCTAAATTGGCATGCATGATCCTGGAAAAAGAAGAATAAGTGTTTCATCTTTACATCAGTTTTCATTTTATTTTACTAGAAAGTAAATTGATTTCACTGTGTCTGCGTGCAGTTTCTGAAGAGGCTAACATCAAGTTATTTTCCCTTGCAGCATACGGCAGTACGAGCTTAAGGAGCACACAGACCTCAACATGAACAAAGTGTTCACAGGAGAGATTGGCCGCCTGAAGAGTTTTGAGGTCCAAAAGCCGTAAGTACTGTGGCAGAGAAGCTGTTCATTGCCATAACCCATTTATCATTAAAGTGCTGTCTGCTCAGTCTCACATTTCACCTACATGCATAACCGACTTCAAAGTTCACTTTCTAAAAATGAAGCTTCCTGCCTCCTAGTGGACATGGGAAATGGATTCATCCTTTTTTTTTTAAAGTCATTTATTTATTGAGTAATAGATGTTTTTGTATTTTTTTTTTTCTAATTAGATTTTACATCTCTTTTGTGACTATGCTCTGCCTTTTGTAATGGCATTTTAACATTTAAGTGTTGCTCTTTTATTCATAGGCCCTTTGATTCAAAAAACCCTTTCCTGGCCCCGGTCACTGTCAACCGCAGACTCAACAAAGCTGGTGATAGACATCTTATGCACCTTGAACTAGACATAACCGGCTCCAAGATCAGGTGAGACTGGTTCACCACAGGATAATGTTTTGTCATATGCCTAACACCACATGACTAGATGTAATGGATGGTTCATGTTCTGTTAAGGCTTTATGAATTACAGGTCAAAGTCTCATTTGTCACATTGCGTGGTTTCAGATATGAGTCAGGAGACCACGTTGCTGTGTTCCCCACAAATGACTCTGCTTTGGTGAACAAGCTGGGACAAATCCTTGGAGTGGACCTTGATGTTGTTATCTCTCTCAACAACCTTGATGGTATGGCAATGAAAGCACAAGAACCTTGACTTTACTAGCTCGTCACTCAAACACCTCCCACGGAAATCCATCCTTGATATCTATCTAGACTTGCAGTATCAGGTCATTTAATGAATTGAATATTTTAATATTACTGTAATCACGTTATTGCTGAAATATAAGGTGTTATATTGTGTTGGCAATGGTGAAGCGTTTATGTCACAGATTAATTAGAGCTGTAAATTGGCCTGTTGGCCTGAAAATACACTTTTTTTTTTTAAACTATAAAAATTACTAATATATAATTATCATTTCACCATCATTGAGATCATTCTACAAAAGAAATATCTGTTTTATTTATATCTCAGAGGAGTCCAACAAGAAGCACCCTTTCCCCTGCCCCACCACCTACCGCACGGCCCTCACTCACTACCTGGACATCACGCACCCTCCTCGTACCAACGTCCTCTATGAGCTGGCACAGTACGCCTCTGACCCCAAAGACCAGGAAAATATGCGCAAGATGGCCTCTTCCTCACCTGAGGGCAAGGTCAGTGACGGGCGGTAAAGATTCATTGGTGTTGACAGGTTAACCCCAAATTGAATATCAGCCATTATATTGTTCTTTCATAGAAAACACTGCTGCTCTCACCCATTTTGGAAATAATTTAACTGAGCCTACAACGCGGGCCGATGCATGTGCTGTGTGTTTGTGATTCCCTTTTTTTATTTTTTGCCTTTCTACCTCTTATACTTCATGTTATTGTCTTCTTGTTACTTCCTCTCTACAGGCACTCTACCAGAACTGGGTGTTGGATGCCAGTAGAAACATCCTCGCCATGCTGGAGGATATGCCTTCTTTGAGGCCTCCCATTGACCACCTGTGTGAGCTGCTGCCTCGTCTCCAGGCTCGCTATTATTCCATCGCTTCATCCTCTAAGGTAACTCCCTGTTTTAAATCACCCAAGCCAGGCAGAGTTCCATCCTTTTTAACTTTTGTCACAAGCTTCATTTTTACACATGGTCTTTTGAAAGGAGTTTTTAGCAGCACTGTTGATAACTCTCCCCTATTCTGTAGGTTCACCCTAACAGCATCCACATCTGCGCCGTGGTGGTGGAGTACAACACCAAGACCGGCCGCGTCAACAAGGGAGTCGCCACCAACTGGTTGAAGAACAAATTGGTCACTGACAACGGCCACAAGTCCACCGTTCCCATGTACATCCGCAAGTCTCAGTTCCGCCTGCCCTTCAAAGCCACCAACCCTGTCATCATGATCGGCCCTGGGACTGGAATCGCTCCCTTCATGGGCTTCATCCAAGAGAGGGGATGGCTGAAACAGCAAGGTATTTCTACACACTATATGCCACGGCATGTGTTGTTGTTTGTGTTGGCCTGACAAGGATAGAACAATGAGGGATAAGAGCTTCAAATATGTTTCTGTTCCAATATAAAAAAGCGTTTTAAGGGTGAGTTTACAAGTGTGGCTTGATGGATACACGTAATTAGTGCTTTAATGGTCTCTATTCAGTTAGTAGCACTCAGCTCATAATTCACTTTTTGTTTCATCAAACTTTAGGCCTCCTCTCATCTGTTCATATAATTAATTAAATTTAATTAAACTGAAGACTTATATGAACATTTACACCCTACCTGCCTAGTCTAACACTTATAAGTTGTTGACACGTCTAACAATATACAGATTAGATGTTTCACCTGTTTAAAACTGGTCTGACAGGCTTTTACTGTGTGTTGATCATTGTGTGACTGAGAATGGACTAAAGGTCTGAACACGGAGCGAGTAGTAACTTTTAAATACCTCAGTGAAAAGGCCTGAACAGAATAATCAGCATGTGTAAAATGACCAATGTTTTGTTTTCATTTTTATAGGAAAGGAGGTCGGAGAGACGGTGATGTTTTTCGGCTGTAGATATAAGAACGAGGATTATATCTACCAGGAGGAGCTTGAGGAAGCAGAGAAGAATGGAGTTCTAACACAGCTCCATGTTGCCTTCTCCAGAGACCAGGAGCAGAAGGTACGGCTGTCTTGCCTCATCTTTGCTGTCCCTTACCTCCAGTATGTAAAATGCACCTTGTTGCGTGGTTGGGGAAGTGATTCATTCTGTTGGAAACCAGAGCGTTGTCTTATCACAGCAAAGACAGATGCAGATTGTAGGTTTCAGCGTCATTGTTTAGTGCACCTGAATTTTAAAGTGGCTGGTCATCGACACAGTCTAATGTTAATAATATAGTAACAAAAATAAATGGTCGTTGTTATTTAAATTATTGAACAACTTTTGGTAAAATGAGATGATGGAAAAACACTAGTCTAACAGTGAATTCAATAACAAATGTACAATATACTGTATATTATTTGTCTCTGTGTTGATAAACCCTGAAACATACAGTTTAAGATGTACATAAGAACAATGTTTTCTCTTTCCATTTTCAAAAATAAAGGTGTACGTGCAGCATCTCCTGAAGAAAAATAAGGAGGCCATGTGGAAGCTGATTAACTCTGAAAATGCTCATATCTACGTCTGCGGGTAATTAACGAAACGTCATGTATTCAAAAAGATTGAACCTTCATATGGATGTTGTGAAAGAATACTGATGTATTGATACAGTACGCTTGAATTGGTGTTGCTGACAATGAATAACCTTTATGGAAACCCACATTCTCTTAGGTGCTTTGTCACCGCCTAGTGGGACAGTGAGAATTGGTTTACACTGCCATCATTTAGAAATGAAAAGCAAAGAACTTCCGCCATGTTTATGTTGTACATTATTGCTGGCTGGCTATTGATGGACAAAAAACATACAAGATAGGGGGAGGGGAAACGCTAATGCAAAGACATCCAGAAATCTAAGATGATTTCTTTCCTGATTCAGGGATGCAAGGAACATGGCTAAGGATGTGCAGACGGCCTTCTACGAGATTGCAGAAGAGCTGGGAGGCATGACGCGCACCCAGGCCACAGATTACATCAAGAAACTGATGACCAAGGGACGCTACTCACAAGATGTCTGGAGTTAAAGAGCCACAGACTCCACTGCGGTCTCACTACTACTAAATAGTGGTGGTTTTAAAATTTTCTATTTTTACCGCACTGTTTTATCAGGACTGAATATAAAACATTTTAAACTCTTGTCCATCACTCTGGTTCATGAGAGCTACAGGTAGCAGAAGATCTTGAGGCAAACCCTACCTCAGCAGGTTTTCTTTAATAAACCCATTCAGCTTTCTCAGTCTGTATTTCCTATGAATACTATGTTATGTATCTGGACCACCAGTCTGTGTCTGCTGGGGTCCTCACTTGAGCTGTGGTCTCAGCCCAAACAACAGTTACCCCGTTTGCTTTCCAGAGGCTGTTAGAGTCTGCTATAAATGATTAAGTTGTGTAATTGGGTGTTTTGACTGCCACTCGAGCTGCTCCGGGATTAGAAGTGGGAACCCGTTGGCTTGAAAGTCCTCAGTCAACCAATCATGAAAGCTTACTTTGCAAATGCAGCAAAGACTCATCTTCCTTTCATATTTAATTTTAATTAGATGCTTTTTTTTATATTGAGTCAATCAGTTTGATTGCAGCTTTATAAACTGATTATGACTGAATAAAATATCTGTGGAAAGGGATTCACCGGCCCAACCTCTGGATGTACATTTATATAATTCCAAGGTGAACGTGACTTAATTGAACATTTTAGAAAGCTAGAACGGCAGTTTGCCGTCTTGAGATGTTTGTAACTTTCATTTAATTAATCAACAGATTGTAGATGTGTTCGTGTTGCCATACGGAGAAGCTTAAGACATGAAGTTGTGCTGACTGTAGTTTCTCTCAGAGCTGATCTGGTGGTACTTTTGAAAAGTACTTAAAATACATGATGTTTTAGAAAACAGCAGTTCTGAGAGGGGAAAATGTTTTGATGCGACAAACTGGCATCATTGGTACAATTTTTGTTTACCTTTGTATTTTGACATGGGATTTCAGCTGTTATGCATACATTGCTGTTCATTTTAATCAGTAACAGTAACCAAAAAGTGATGCAAATGGGAGTATGTGGAGAACACAAGAGTATGTGCATTTTATTTCCAGAAACGCCTGTCTTTAAACATGATGAAAATGAAACCATGTCTGGCCTCCCAAATGATGGTTGTTTATTTTATATACATCTGACAGCAGAGGATTATGAAATGGATTTGTCATGTGGCAGTAAGACTACACCTATTTGATTTTTTAATCTGTATTTTTTTTTTTTTCTCTGTTTTTGTCCAATCACATATGCACCACTACAAGGAGAAGGTGACCGGACATATCAAAACATTTTAGGTGTCTCCCGGCATCTGTGCTCATCCCTGTACTTTTGTGTGAATATGAGGAGTTTGAAGAGGTCAGCCGACCAGTTAAAGTGCTGCCTGTGCCTTTTTAACACTGCCTTATGTATTAAGTTGGCATTAAAACCCTGATGCTTCACAATCTTTTTGCTAGTATTTTTTTCGTCCATACTTACGTTTTGATAGAAAATCACTTTTTTTGTCATTCATTTATGATGTGAGTATTTGATTTTATTAAGGCATTTTTTAATGAATAAAATTGGAATAATTTGTTGGGTTGCTGCCTTTTTTGTGATTAAATTAGGTTATGGTACTTTTATGAGGTTTATTTAAATTTGGTGGCTTTAGTCAAAAATATTAATAGAACATGTTAAAACACTGGAACTAGGTAGCACTTGCATGAAACATGACCTGCATTCTGCCAACGACCAAATAAAAACCTAGATCCAGATTTAGGAGTATTGTAAACTATAGTTCAAGTGAGTGCAAGACAATCAGTATAACTAACTGTAGCAGATTATTATCTAGACCATCTGTTTTCTGTTTGTCATCAGACATGAGGTTTCAGCTCCATCACACTAATATCCATGAGGAAGTAATGTTGAGAGATGAAAATCACACAGGGCTGTGGTGTTTGTTTAATCAGCAGCTGCTGATTAAACAAACAGTGACTTACAGTAACCTTACCAGCAGCTTGTTCCACGAAGCTCGAGTAATGACCTATTTGTTAAATGATCTTTCAGATCTGATGTGATAAGTCCTGATCTAGGGTTACAAAAAGTCATTGTCCATAAAGCTATACTTTTATATTGTCTTTACAGTGCAATAAATAGATCCATATATTCATACATTTTGATATTGAAATCATAAAATAAAAGTGGCGCAGTGGTTAGCACTGTCGCCTCACAGCAAGAATGTCGCAGGTGCGAACCCCCGTCGTCCCGGCCTTTCATTTATGATGTTGCCTCACAGCCTTTCATTCATGAGGTCGCGGGTTCGAACCCCGGTCTTCCCGGCCTTTCTGTGTGGAGTTTGCATGTTCTCCCCGCGTCTGCGTGGGTTCTCTCCGGGTGCTCCGGCTTCCTCCCACCGTCCAAAGACATGCAGACTAGGTTGAATGGTGACCCTAAATTGTCTTTAGGTGTGAGCGTGACTGGTGGTTTGTCCATGTGTGGCCCTGCGATGAACTGGCGACCTGTCCCTGCCTTTCGCCCGATGTCAGCTGGGATTGGCTCCAGCCCCCCCGCGACCTTGTACAGGATAAGCGGTTGACATGGATCATAAAATAAAAACATTTTATATTTGGCCCTCTTCATGGTAGACATATTGACTTGTGACAGCAAGAAGAGCACAGGTATAGATCTAATAAATTGCAATTTGTGTAATTATTAATTAGACATAAGCTGAAAAAAAGACGTACACACACCACCTTGTCATTTCAATTCAAACAATTACATTGTATTGACTTACATTTATTAGGTTTAACCCAACCAAAAAACAAGTCTCAACCCAAAATGTAATGGTTTACCTTGTGTGACACAGCTTGTTATCCCACATAGGAGGTGAGTTGTTGTGTTTGTGTGAACAGATTTTAAGTAGGCTAAGTAGCCTACAGACACAACCACCAAACATTGACCTCAAGCCCTCAAGTCACTGTGTAAATCATCAAACCACACACTTCATATATATCACTAAGCGTACAATATTCTTACACAAGCATTTGTAATTCTATAATATTTATTACATTATACTATACTAATACTATATTATGTTTTATATTCTATGCTATAATGCTATAAGATGGCGATGGGACAGTGGATAAGACACATGCCTCTGGTGTGGTTATATGTCCCTGATATTTAAATCCCCGTCAGAGTATCATTTCCTCATTAGCGCTCTGAACCAGTAGGTGGCGACATAATAAGTTATCCTTGAATGGGAGCAGCTCGTTGCAGCAGGCAGAAGAAGAAGCTGCATTAAGGGAAGTGCCGCAGTGTGTTCAGCTCTGTGGTGCTGCGTAGATGTCAACCAGGGTTTTTATCAGCTAATCCGAAGAAACATACTTCATTGTTTTTTAAACTATACATATAACGTCACAAAATGGCCACTGGTAAGTCAACGTGTCTTTCTGATTGATTGTGAAGTTTCTATGTATTGATTTTGTGCGGCTATCGAAAAGTGGGTCAAATAGCATTGAAAGCTAAGTTAGCGGCCAGAAGCGAGGCCAGAAGAAGGGCTTCGTCTAATTCCTGGAACAGAGCTCATATTTCACCAGCGCAACCAAAGTATCTTTATCGGGTATTTGATTAAACGTTGTGTTCATAAGGTTACTTTATGATCACACTGCTAATGTAAATACATACCCACAATTGGCGTAGTAACGTCATAAATGTCGCAGACTGAGCAGGGCCTTGTCGCGGCTAACTTTAGCTACCATAGCGAGCATGAGTGTGTCTTTGTTTATACCGATGCTGTTTCCCTGCTCAACCGCACACATTTTGCCCCACCGGAACATATATGGTCTTAATACGAGTTGGCAACATTGGCATTTTAACAGTTTATTGTAAAGCTACTTGTACCGAAAATGGACCGCATTTGTAAACCTGTGTGCCCTTTCAACATTTAGCCGAAGCCGAGACCAAATTGACCGCCATTTTTCCTGGCGTGGTGAAGGAGGGCCTGTTTGCGTGTTAGTTAGCTCTCCTTCTCAAGAAAGCTTCCTCCAGGCTAGTAGCTATTAGCTGCTTAGTCACCTTGCTATTTAACACACTGTTTAGCAAGTTAGTTCTTCCCGAGCAACGTTAAACTGATTTATTTCTGTTTTAGATTCGGGATACGGCGGCTCACAAAGGTAACAAGGCCTTACTTTAATTTCCTGTTCGTGGCTGAGTCGTTGTGCACATTCCTATTCAAAGCGTGTTTAACATATAACTGAGCTAGATAATTGGTTTTGAGTGCACCAAAACCGGAAAGCTAATTTCTTTTCCAATGTGTCTGCAGCTATGGATCATATAGTGGTCAGCCGGGCGGGCAGGTAAGACCCACATTATTATAAATCTGTTAGCTGTAGGTATTGTGCTATTTAGTTTTGGCTTTTTCATTAAAAGCTGTCTAACTGTTTTGCCCCCCTTTTGGTTGACAGGGTTATGGTCAAGGAAATGGCAGTGGCTCTTATGGGGGACAGAGTTACAGTGGCTATGGACAGCAAGGTGCAGCACAAGGTATGTCTATTTATATCAAGACATTTGTGGAACAACAGGGATTGGTCAAACCACTGTACATGGCATGGATGCCTCTTAAATTTGTTAAATTCTCCTCTAAAATGTGACCTTGCTGTGGGGTCTACAGTTAATCACATTTTGATAAGATGTGTTGCAGCATATACCAGAAGATAATTAAACTATTTATTTATTTTTAAGTTCTCATCTCTAATTTCTTGACAGACGGTTATGGCCAATCTCAGCCACAGAGCTATGGAAGTTACGGTCAGGACTCATCTGGGTAAGATGCCAATATCAATTTCTTCAGAGACATTAAATTGTTCTGGGTTCTGTGATTTTTCTGCAACATGATTCTCAACCTTAAATCTGAGGTAGGCAACGTTAAAGAATTAACAAGGGATATCTAGATTTTGGAAAACACACCCCCTCCCTCCAAAACCACTCCATCAAAACATATTATGTGCAGTAAGTACTGGGGCAGGGTTTGCTTAGGTAGTTATTTCATTTGGACGGAGTGAAATGATTGGCTGTACTTATTACATGCCTGTGACAGCTACGGATACCTGGATGGAGAGAGATATAATTTTTTTTTGTGTCCGAGCATTTGATTTATTGAAATAAGAGAATTTCAACAAATACCAAAATGCTTCTAAAATTGCCTACCACAGCTTTAATATAATGCAGTACAGTATTAAAGAATTTAAACCAATAACTTGAATGTCATTAGATTAGAAAACTAATACGCTTTTTAAAATTTTGTCCTGCCTGCCTGATTTGAAAGAGGATTCAAATATTTGGCATCTCTGTTGTGCTAATGATTTTCCTACAACCCACAAGGTATGGCGATAAGTCGACGTCTTATGGGCAGCCAAGTTCCTATGCTGGCCAGGGGCAAGCAGCAGACAGCTATGGGCAGCAAAGCTCCTATGGTAGCCAAGGGCAAGGAGGTGGCAGCTATGGAAGATGGAGTGAAAGTACAAATACCTGGATCTTTTAATATGGACTACATCTGCATTCTAGTCTTAATGTCAGGTCGTGTATCTACTCATGAGATCTTTCTTTGCCCAGGTGAAAGTGGTGGTCAGGGTGGGCGGTTCGGACGTGACCAAGGAGACCGTTCAGAAGGAGGGGCCTACAGAGGCCGAGGCCGTGGTGGTTATGACCGTGGTGGTTATGATCGTGGCGGTTATGACCGCGGTGGATACGACCGTGGCGGAAGAGGTGGACCTCCTGGTATGGGGTAAGTTGCATAGTGCCACTGCCCCCAAGGTACCTCTATACACCTTAAAATATGAGACGTGATTCGTTGTAACTCAACACATCACTCATCAACTACAAAACATCCACATAGATAATTTCATCTGCTTTATGCTACAGATCCCCAAACTCTGGTAATGTGTGTGTTTATTTTTTTTATTTTTTTCTTTTGTTTTCCAAAACCTGATTCATCTATAGTTGTCACAGATCACATTGGTAATGTTCACTACCCCTCTGCATTGTGCTCCAGGTGCCTGAAACTTGCCCCCCAAAACCTGATTCACCTGAGGTTTTTACGTAAGACATACTGGTCTTAAATCCACATTGCTGTTAAGATCAAGTGATGGGTACTCACACATGTGGTGGTTAAGTAAATGTTGTTTGACCCTCTAAGGATGTACTTGTTTTTGGGGTCTTTAAAGAAAAGAAATGGAGACTGAACATGCCTGCACAAATGGGAGCTTTAAAGGCACCAGAGACCTAGTTGGACAACCATATTATCCCAGACTTTGGGACGGGTTTAGTATATTTTGCAACAGAACAGTTGCCAATTTTTCCATCAGCAAGGGCATAGTATCATTTTCAGAGGCTGTACAGTATCTAGTGAAATTAAGAGCCGTACCTTAACACGTTTCTTTAAGGAGAATAATGCAGTACTAACTATCATAAGTACTTTAAGCATGGACAAACCTGTGCTCCACACTAAGATGCAAACTATGGTCCGTCCGCCCCCCATCCCCCCAGGTTAGCGCTGTCTTTGAAGAGATGAGTTAAGGTACCCACTACTTTCCCTCCTTGGGTTTTTTTTTCTTCTCGAGACCGGCTTTGGTATGATCTTAAAGCTCCACATGTTGGTGAACTTAAATTGTTGAGCCAACCGGTACAACGTTTTTTCTGTCTGTTGTACATATTATATATAGCCATAAACCATTTAAAAGAAATCAAAAGTTTATCTCCAGCAGCCATACTTTTGTTTTGTCGCCAGAAACTCAATTTTGTTTCTTGTGCGCGGAGGACCACATAATTGAACAATGGAAACTACTGAAACGATGTCCTTAGACCTGGAGCCACATCTTCAGCTGCTTCACATTCAACAGGTTTCATTCAAGTGTTGTATAATTGACAATGGAGAACATGTGTGTTGTGTTAACATGGATCTACATTTTATACTACAGGTGTTCAGAGTGATTGAACTTAAACTTGGACCTCAGATAAAGGATCTCATAAATGCATTCAGTGGATTGCTTATCCGTTGCTACACCCCTTCACACCAATTTGGCTTATCATGTTAAAACAAATTCCGCTGGTTTTCCAGCACTTGGTATTCAATCTGGCCATGTAAAGAAGAAAAAAGTACCAAATTCTTTGTAAATGGAGACCCAGTGACATGTAATCATTGTCTTCCCTCGTCTGCCTGATTGTTCAGTCAGAGCTGCCTAGTCGTCTGTTCATTGATCTCTAATGTCAAAGACTAACGTATTCCTCGTGTGAGACATTTCCACCATAGTCGCACACCCTGGCAGGAGTGCATACTGATGGGGATGTAGGGGAGCTTTGAGCTCTCAGTTGGGACAAAGGAAAAGCCATCATATCTCCAATTTTTCCTCTGCAGAGGTGGTGACCGTGGTGGCTACAAAAATTACGGTGGTAAGTGACGAGCATCAGAACTGTGTCGGTGGGGGAGGAAAGAACTTGAGTTAGCAAAAAGAAAACAGGGGATTTATAAAAAAAAAAAAAAAAAACAGTGAATGCCACCATTTTCATGTCCAGATCCCAAGGGACTCCACCTATTATTCTTAGCAGGATTTCTCATACATGACTTCAGATATGGTAAAGAACATGGAGCCTGAGTTGTAAAATAATGGTATTGTTGCATGAAGACGAGGGCTGATTGTAATGTCAGAGGTGTTCCCAGGACGAAGAAGGGAAAAACTTTCTAATTCTGGAGACATTTTGGTGGTTTTCATTTCTGGTGTAAGCTCAAGAAAAACAGAACACTTCTGTTCTTGTTGCAAGGTGTTGGTATGCGGTGCAACGGTATGGAAACACCCATCAGAGAGCTGTAAACATGGACATTGTTTAATTTTCTTTATCATTATGCATTGATAGGGACAAAGTTAATAATAATTTGTGTGAAAGTGTTTAAGGTCCCCTTGCTCAAGTCGTCTTTTCCATCCTCTCCTCTGTTTTACAGGCTCTCGAGACTACGGCTCAAGGGATGAACCAGGTAAGTCTTTTTTTTTTTTGCTTTTTTTTTTTTTTTTTTCATCACATGATTAAATAACCATGTACTGATCAATCAGTCCTACTCTATCCAGTCACTGTAATCTAATATCAGAATGTCTATCCACTTTTTGAAATTGCTTGATGGCACAGGCCATTTGGGATGACTTTGATGTGCCCTTACTTCAATCTATTGGGAATCTATCATCTAGAAATGTGTAACTTTACAGTGTTCCTGCAGCTCCTTTAGAGTCTTGAGATCAAATCAAGAAAATAAGGTCATAAATTGTCTTAAATTTACCGTAAACTGGATTTGGGTGTTAAATTTGCAGATAGTGTGTTTAAGGCTGGCGAGAAAATTGACTATCGTAACACATCTAATTAGTGTGTATTATGTTTAAGTTAGTTTTAGACAATGTGAGACCCCTCCCATTAATTTTTATTTTGTTAGCTACAAACCTTGACATCTGGCTGTGTCATTTTGTTATCGGCAGTTGGGGAGATGCGAGTTTAATGAAAAGTGGTTGTAGGGAGGTTCTGGAGGTGGTTAAGTTCACGTCGGGCACCGTGGGGTGAAAGCTGCTGAATACCACGAGTTTTAAAAATGTTACAGCGGTATTCAGTGGCTACTTGTGGGGCTATATAATGCCTGCATTGTTGGCATGTAGCAGACTTGAAAGTTCAGAGTCCCTCAACTTCTGGACAGTTGACTTTGAGCAGTTTTGTCACTGCCAGAGACACAGCGAGCAGGCACTATTCACTTAAATTAAATGATGACATATTGTAGTATTTGTCGCTCTGTTACCTGATTCGGGAATATGCAAAGTAATAAACCTATTATAGGAAACTCCTCTCTATCAAAGAAATAGTTTTTTGTGTGGTCTTAAATTGTATTTGTTGAGGTCTTAATGTCTTAAAGCATTGAACTTGATTAAAAAAGGAGCCACAACCCTGCTTTAACAAAAAATAAAGTTTCAAGTTTTGATCATAAATTGTAATGAACTGAACATGGATATTCCCCAAACTCCCAGATTGGTATGCTTCTACAATAAGTCACCAAGAGTAAATTTTCCTCGGTTTCTCATAGATTCATATTTTCATTCATGTGATCAAGTCTTGTCTCCTATCTTTCTTCTTCAGATGGTGAGCAGGACAACTCTGACAACACACCATTTTTGTCCAGGGACTGGGAGAAGATGCCACCGTTCAGGAAGTCGGCGACTTCTTCAAGCAAATTGGTATCATCAAGGTATTGAATTAGTCTCTTGGCATGTTAATTAAATTATATTGTAACATGTATCCTAAGGACTTGATTAACATTTGCTATTTCTTTGTGAGCTACAGGTAAGCATCAACATATCGCACATCACAGCTTCATAAACATTACATGTACTGGTGTCTAAATCCAGCGCTTCTTCTTAATGTGTCCCTGACTTTAGATTTCTTGATGCAATCTTCAATTTCCTGCTGGTGTGGTACTATTGTACATTAACTATCAGGGAAAGCATCCTCATTGCCAACGGCTCCAGGTCAGCCCTATATCACCCTTCAAACCATAGACTGTGTATAAAAAGCTTCAAACTTTCCAACCAAACCAAAAATGAGCCATGTTTTTCATAAATAAAACCTACTCTTAGCTCTCTGAACTTACAATATTAAAAGAAACTTCTTCTTTAAGCAAGTCACTAACATACAATGAATATCCAATATCCAATGAAAATATCTAATGAAATGTGTCCTGCATCACAGAATCAAAGGCTGGTGGGTTTCTCATCACTACGTCTCAGCTTTTCTGTCCGGTGTAATGCTGACATGGTGAGCAGAGGAAGATTAAAAATCATAAGTAACAAATTAAGAAACAATGAAACGCCTTTTGTTACTGTTAGAGAAAGACATATCCATAAAAAATGTTTCTTTGTAATAATAAAATTCCTCTGTTTCACAACCAAGGCCAGATGGGAACCTGTACAAGACATTCAGGAACCAGTTCCTTGCTTACTTCTTGTACCAAAGTAAGGTCAAAATACTTGGGATAAGTACATGGTTGAAACGTTTCTAAATCATACCAAAGCGTGATCAGTTTTTCTTTCATCTGGAACACGCAGGTTTTGTTCAGTGTCTGCAGTGCTATTATCAGAGCGGGTGTCTGTACAGACTGCGAGCTCTGGGAGAAAGACACAACATGGATCTGACCGTGGGTGAGATAGACTGTAACACACCAAGGACATGGAATACAGACGCACTGAGCATTTCATAATTAAAAATATTTAGTAGCACTTTTGAGAACCATGTCTGGGGCTGCTTGTCGTCACTGCTGTAACGACAGATGCATAAGTGGGAGTAAGAAAAAAGCCAAACACTTTAAACTCTTATCTGCTTTCTATTTATAGAGGGATTTCAGTCGTGGATGTGGAAAGGGCTGACGTTTCTTTTGCCCTTCCTCTTTTTTGGTCATGTGAGTATACAGTCTGTGACACAGAAGGATTGAAACTGATCTTGAGAAATTTCCTCTAACTACTCCTTAGTTTGCTTTAAAAATCATGCTTTGTCATGGTTTAGACTGGATGACACAAAAAACGCTGATGTCATTCTAGACGTAATGTTAGTCTGCGTATTTAGGTAAGTGGTGGAGAGTAAGTACAATTAAAGTACAGTCTTGAGGTACTTTTCATTTTATACAACTTCATATTTCTTACTCTATTATATTCATCTGACAGCTAAAGTGACTCTTCAGATTAAGATTTTATATTAACAATGATGATACATTTATATAATACAACACAAGATCAAACCAGTGGTTCCCTGCTCTTTTGTTGTGTGGCTGCTTACAAAAAACAGTGTCCAATTGGGATTACATTTCAGTGGAAGAATATTCCCCAAAATACAGATTTTTGAAGCAGAATTGAGTTTTTTCATCTTTCCTACCCCATTTATCATCTCACGACCCATCAGATTTATCTTGTGACCCTTTGGAGGATGCCCACACCCTAATTCGGGAAGCACTGGACTAAATTCTATACAGAGTAGTAGACATGTTAATACATCAGTATTAACAATCTAATAATGTATTACATAATAATAATATATCAGCTCCAGGGATAATTTTCTGAGAATACTTCTGTACTTTTACTTAAGTGCAATGATTTTTACTTGTGACAGAGCATTTCTATATTGTGGTATTGGTTAAGCAAACTTATCTGGAAAACATCTTAACCTTTAGTGTGTCTTGTGTTCGTGCAGATGCAAACTATATCCATTCACTTTTAACAAAACAAAACCCTTAAGTCTCATGTTTTGTCTTGTAGTTCTGGCAGCTCTTCAATAGCCTCTCTCTCTTCAAAATGGCTCAGCTCCCAGACTGTAAAGAATGGCAGGTCAGTGCTTTCAAGGTCACCAATTTTCATATTGCCACGTTCCTGCTTTTCAAATGTACTGTATCTATTCATCTTCCATCTACACGGCACTAATACCTCATTATTTTCTTACAATGTACAACTAGAGGGCTTACTATTTGTATGGCCAGAACACTGTGTTCACATTTGATCAGATATATTACTGACATTCTACTGTTACATTATAATGTATTTTTGTATCTATTTTCAATAGTTTTTCTCTGTGAAATCTACCTGTATAGAGCTACACTGTATTAAGCTTCCTCACATATTGTTCTCTCTGTTCCACGTGATGCCAGGTCCTGATGTGTGGTCTCTGCTTCCTTATTCTGTTCATGGGAAACTTCTTCACTACTGTCGCCGTGGTCCGCCAGAAGCTGAAGAGCAGGAATCAGAAACTAAAGAATATGTGATATATACTAATAAATGAAAAAAAAACAACATCTCTACAAAATGGTGTCTTACATGTTCCACTGCAAATTAAAACTCATCATCATTATTGCCATCATTAACAATATTTGTCGTGCTATTATCTTATAAAATTATTATAAGTCTAATGGCAATTATTACAAAATATGTACAGTAGATACAGTAATATAAAAATTGTGTTATAATGTGTAATAATCGATCACCACTGAGGGTAGATTATGATCCACAATACCTCCATGTTCTTATATTTATATAATTATGTAATTAGTAAAATTACATAAAAATGAAAAATAAAAGAAAATAAACAAAAGCACCCTCCAATAAAGTATATCATCACACCATCCTCTGTGAAGCTGTTTTTAGTATTTCTACATAGTTTGTGCTTGTGCATAGGTGTGTCTGAATCTGTCTGATTCTATCCCTGCCCTTTATTCATTTGTTTCAAGTTTGGTCTCTAAATTCAGAGTTTCCCTGCAGGGATTAAAAAACCACATCCCATTTTATGTCATTATGTTTACTTTAATCAGTTATCTTCTCCCTGTGTTTAGCTAACAATGCAAAGCATTGCAGCCTTAACAGAAGACCGGGTTGTAGCTTGGTTCATTCACTCATGTAATGTATTTAAGTATAATTTTAAATTACTTGTTATTACTTAAGCACATCAATTTTCTGTTATTGTACTACTTCACTACATTACAAAGGAAAATGCTGTATTTCTTACTCCACAACGTTTACCTAAAAGCAATAGAAACTAGTTATTTTGCATATTAAGATTTTATATACAAAATCTGTGATGAGCATTTAAAATAAGACTTGTTGTAGATAAAACTACAACACTGTGCTATAAATGTACCTGCCTTCAAATGTTTAATTTAATACAGGAATATTAGCAATAAAACTTAAACTATGAAATGTCATTCTGCACAATTGCCCCTGTCAGTGGTATATTACTGCATATCACTGCATCATTATTATTGATATATTAACATGTTAGCAGTACTTAAATGTTGTCATTTCAAGGTGGAGCTAATTTTAATGTTACACTAGATAGTTCATTATATAACAATGCTTCATATTTCATAGTGATTAGTTTTAAATTTCAATCTGAAAAGTAACTATAGCTGTTAATTAAATGGAGTGGAGTAAAAAGTACTGTAAAGTGGACATTTCCCTGTGAAATACATTGGACGAGAGGTATAAAGTATAAGCCAGACGCACAAATAGATAGAGTACTTGATTAATCCCAGTGGGAAATTGCAGAAAAACAATCCGCAAACATAATAAGGATTCACAAAGAGGTACATAAGAAGATAGAAATACAAAAACACATAAGTTCTTAACTAGAAATCGAATTAAAACTAAAAAATTGTAAAATACTAATAAAATTGATAGTGCCTGGTAATATTATGTACATGGTTAATGCATGTCCAGTAGATACTGTACAGTATATTGTTATTTATTGATATGGCAAAGTGCTTCATTGGAATTGCATAAGTGAGTATTGGAATATCTACAATGAATATATGTACACACACACACACACACACACACACACATACACACACACATACACACACACACAGTTAAGATACAAATACTAATAGATAAAGTTCAAAATTGTACTTAGGTACATTATTTTAATAGCTCCACTAAGTTACTCCTGTGTTGCCAAGGGTCAATATACTCCCAAATGATTACCATTACCTTTGATACCTCGAGTACATTTTGGTGTTACTTGTTCTGAACTTTAGTAAGACTGAATGCAAGCCTTTTTCTTATAACAGAGTATTTTTTTAACATGGCTTTACTTTTTCTTTACAACAACCACATGGGTTACTGCACTGTCAAACATATGTGCTTAATTATGTCAACATAAACACCCTTAATATTTGATGAGTCTGCCTCTCAATCTGTCATGGATACACAGTTTGTCCTGCTGCTTGCATTACATAACCATGACCCTTTGCCTGCTGCACCTCAACAGTTATTTGTCATAGTACAAAAACAGATAACTTCTTAACTAGAGATTGAACTAAAACTAAAAAGTAGTAAAATACTCTTAACACAGACAATGATAGTGCCTGGTAATATTATGTACATGGTTAATGCATGTCCAGTAGATACTGTACAGTATATTGTTATTTATTGATATGGCAAAGTGCTTTATCTGAATTGCATAAATGAGTATTGGAATATCTACAATGAATATATGTACACACACACACACACACACACACACACACACACACACACACACACACACGCACAGTTAAGATACCAATAATAATAAGTAAAGTTCAAAATTGTTACTTAAGTAGCTGCACCAAGTTACCCCTGAGTTGACAGGGGTCAATATACTTCCAAATGATTACTATTACTTTTGATACTTCAAATACATTTTGGTGTTTCTAGTTCTGAACTTTATAAGTATTTTTATAACATGGCTTTACTTTTTCTTTACAACAACCATAGGGTTTACTGCACTGTGAAACATATGTCCTAGGTTATGTCAACATAAACACCTCTGCCTCTCAATCTGTCATGGATACACAGTTTGTCCTGCTGATTGTATTACATAACCATGAACCTTTGCCTGCTGCACCTCAACAGTTATTTATCGTAGTGGGTTATCTTTGTACACCGGTCCAAATTGAAATAAAATGAAAAAATAAACACGCTTAATTTCTTTGAACCATTTAAAATCACAAACACACCCGTATCTTCTTAAAAAGAATATATCCCTATGCAAGATTTATTTGGTGTTGAAAGTGCAACAGTCCTCTCCCCCCCCGCTGCCAGGACCGAGTTGGTTTGATCCTACATGGCGTAAAGTTTCCTTCCGTGTTGAGCACAGTGTCAGCCTGGCACAAAAGAGTGGAGGCAAAGGTAAGCACAAGACCTAACTCACCTTTTTAAAAGGTTTTACATCACGCTGTAGTCTGTGGCAGTCTGGGGGAATTACACGTCAGCGATGATAGATTAACACCGGAGCTTGAAACCTAAAGTACAGAAGACATGTTCATCTTTTTCTTTGAACCATTAGCTTAAGAGAAATGCTGACTCCACTGTTACGCAAAATGAGGCTAACTTATAGGTCGTTTCTTAGCATGTGTAAAATACATTAGATTTAATTAGCTTTTGTACCTATCAGATATCACCCAACACTGTTTAGTTTCTTAATTAACATGTGTATATGTATTTTTAACAGCACATTGTTTTTATTCAGTGTTGTCACGGTCCAGGGAATAGCCAGGGCCCTAAGTTCATTCCCGCTGGCTATCCTTGTCATTTTCCTCGTTTTATCTAAAGGGGTATTTCTTAACATTAAAACATCTCATTAGCAAAACTAGTTAAACTGGTGTCTACGTTTCATGACGTTGGGCTTCACACACACGCTGTCTGAAACCGGTGCTAGTATCTCGACTGTTGCAAAACTGTTCAAGTTGAGCAGAAAGAGGTGAATTGTGAGGGTGAACTCCAGTGAACTTCGGGTATGTCTGGTTCGTTGATCATTTAAAACCCTAGTGGGACAGCTATTGAAATGTATTTAACTTGGCAACTAATCAAACTCTCACATGATTATGATAAGAGTTAACCAGGCGTTGGCGTGAAGTTGAACCTACAGTGTAATGATACATAGTGTGTCTGTCAACTCTGTGGCTTTACCCACTGTGTCAGAGGTATTAGGGATAGTGTGAAAACAAGCAGACTGTTATTTTGAACAACTTTTAAATTTGAAGTGAACTTGATCTATCAGGTAAGCTCTTGTTTTCCCTCATGTATTTTCTTTGACAGGGCAAACGTGTGTGAGAAATAAACAAAGAAAAAACAGAATTAGTAATTAAATGTGTAGTTATCACATCAAAGGTTGCCTATGTTGTTAGGTTTGTCTGTAACTTTTAATATCCATGTAAAACACACTGTGAACTGGAGAGAGGAGGCACTTGTGTTTTCTGTTTGGGCTGCTAATTAATCCTGCGGGGAGGTCACCAAGGAAAGTAGGTATGGATACTATATCATAACAGACCGAAGACTGAGAAGTGATGTAGTTTGCGGCCATTACCTTTTTAGCTTCACGTCAGTTGGCAGTTTATTAGGTACATCTAGCTAAAACTAATGTAATATTTATTCTACCCTTACTGATATAAATGGGGTTTTAGCTAGGCGTACCTTACAAACTGGAAAATATAGCATCCATACGGAGCAATCAATAAATTGGCCAGGCAGATATATTGTCTAATGTAAGCTCATTGTGAATATATCTGATCTGTACAGAAATGCCACTTGCATGTTTAGTTTATTTTACAGTTTATTTTATGAAATGTTCCACTTATCACAATTCTTTAAAAAACAAAATCCTTATCACATTAAGTGTTTATGTTTAAAAAAAAAAAAGACTATTGGCTAATGTATTGTTATCAGACTTTTAAAACGCTTAAACATCTATCAGCCTTAAACATCCAGCATTGGTCAGGTGATATATTTGGTTTAGGGCACAATTGGATGCTATTATAAAACTAAACAATTTTGACAGACCAGGTAAACATATTGACAAAGCTACTGTCACGTTAATTTTAGTGTCTGACTTGGTTTGAAATGCTTGTTGTCTGGTGATTATTAATCACCTATCACTGATTATAGAAAATGCTCCAGTAAATAATGTCAGACATTTAGTAAAAGATGGTCACACACATTGCAGTTCACTTTTCTGTGGAAAATATCTAATTGTTCTATTTGTGAATCACCAGCAAGTGTTTGGTACACTGGTACCTCTGTACATATAAGTTGAAGTGGTGTGATTTAACATATCAGTGAGTCAGCAGTCTAGTGTGTACATGGCTGTGTCATTCAAACTCTTCTCTAGTTGAGTCCACTTCAGATTTAAAAAAAACAAAACAAGTCTCATTGTTTTCACTCCTTGAACCAAACTGAAACTTGAGCGCTCAGAACATGAAGTCCTTTCGTGCTCAGTGTGAAAAGAGCCGCTGTTGTTGGTACACGACAAGATAAACTTCATGGATCGAATGCAGCGGGTTACAATGTTAGAGAATAGACTAGAACCAAATGTCCAATAATGCTTGCATAAAAGCTGCCATTGTATGATATGGCAGGAAGAATACTGCTCACACTCACGTTAGCAGTCATAGTTCTGTGCAGCAGGTTAACCAGTTTTGTTCAGCTGGAATTTTAACCAGAGGCTTAATAGATTTATTATTATTTTAATAAATGCAGATTTTAAATTACAGCTTGCTGTCCTTGCAACTTATCTTAAACACATTCATCACAAGTTGAGAAAAACAAACAATATTCGGTACAAGAAAGGCATTTGATGGCACATATTATCCTAATCTGTGTCGTTTATATAACCATTATAAAGATAATGATTAACTTATAAATAAATCTATTGGAAAGTTTTTTTCTGTATAATAGTGAAAAAATAACATCCCCAGAGTCAAAACTAATGTCTTCAAACTGTTTATTTAGTCTAATCAACGGTCCAAAAACCCAAATGGATTTATTATACAATCATATGAGCTGGAAGTGGCAAATATTTGCTCCACTCGATAAATGGGGGGAAAAAATGATTGACTAGTAGACTGGTCTAAAGCTGTGTTTTATTTTGTCTGCATGTAGTGTCAACTATCACAGACATGGATGCTGAGACCCCCACCCGCACCGAGCCCATGGCGGATGAAGAGGAGTCTCTGTTCAGCAACCTGGACCTCTTCCTTTTCTCCCTGATTGTCGGCCTTGTCATTTATTGGTTCGTGTCCCGCAAGAAGCCGGAGCCCATCCCTGAATTCAAGAAGCTCGACACACCGTGAGTATCTGTCATGGTGTACCTGGGTTTAAATTAAAACATAGTTTGGAGGATAAGCAGGTTCCAGTGTAGATCTGACTATATCTAAATATATTAAAATAATGAAGGCTGCTGCGGAATAAAGAAACAAGCTGTGTGTGTGGTCATGTTTTGTCATTTATTCATTTTATCTTGGTGTAGTAAGAGGCTATTTATTTAATCAGAGTCTTCATTAGAGTATATTTACTTGTAGATCAGTATAGGTGATCCAATAATCTGCCTGTGTCTTATTACATGATAAGAAATTAGACAGAAACGAGTACAGTGGGTCGTCAAGTTGTCACTAATGTGCCCTGAGGCAAGTATGTGAGAGTGCACGGCTTAGAGCTTGTAAATGTTCCACTAGAAACAACCTTTGTGTCCTCTCTCCCTGTCCTGTTCTCTCCTTTCATCACTTATCAGTGGAGTAATGGGGGCTTGGCTTGATTTCAATGGACTCTCCATCCATTGGTCACATTTCTAAGTCCCTCCCCAACCACATCACAATTTCTTTGGTCACCAGAGTAAAGCCACGGGCCAGCAGGAGCTGTGTGGCCGAGGTCTTGCCTGGTTGTGAGAATGGAGACTGAGTGGGGGCCATTTGTGTGAAAACAGGAGGTCTGCTAGAAAGGGGGAAAGACCCCCGTAGAGCATGATTTGCTTTGGGAGGATTGTGTATCTGTGGAGGGAGGGAATACAGGAAAGGGAATATGGAGCAGCACAAGCTAGTCTCCCCTCCCCTTAAAGGGAGCAGTGATTACCTAACTGTTATGAAGGGGGCGTAGTCTTCCATGTCTTTCCTGTGCTTTTGTTTTTGGCCCTGAACCCATTTTGAAAGTTCCCTGGAGAGCAAACGAGGAGGGCGAGCCAAGCTCCTTTTGTGAGTCCTCTCCAAAGGTGGAAAGTTGAGGCAAAAGACAAGCAACCCTTTCTTTGCCCTGAGTTACTTACTTTTTTTTTTCATTCTTCTTTTCCCCACTCCCCTGTTTTTCTTTTCAGTTTGGTGTGTGCATGTGTGGGCTGAGCTGCTCTGCCATTGGAGTAGGGCCATGTCACAAATGAAATCCTTTTATGATAAATGAGGTTACCATAGCAATGACATTCCCCTCTCTCCTCCAGTGAGATGGGGGCGGGGGATCCTTCAGGGAAAAAAAGAAAAAAAGAAACTACCATTCACAGCTCTCCCCACCGAGGAGTCTCTCTGATAACCAGCCAAATTCTCAGAATGGATCTTATGGACTTTTTCGTTCCCAACACCTTTCAGACCGGAGAGGAAAAGGGGCGGGGATAAGGAGGAAGGCATTTTCAGCCCGAGAGTGTTTCAGTGTGTGTTTGTGAGTCAAAAGTGTGGGTCTGCAGCTCAGCTACGTTTTATGGGAAAGTCAGTTTCCCACCATTGTGTCCTCAGCAGTTGCCAGACACTGACAAGGCTTGTAGGGTGTGTGTGTGTGTGTGTGTGGTGGAGTTTTCTGTGTGTGGAGACCAGACGCTGCTGGTTTCAGAGGCAGAGTTCAGATCGTGTTGGAGCCTCTGAGGTGAAGGCAGGCGGCTCTTCCAAACCTGCGAATGTCCTGCTGCCTTTCTGGACTGCATTCGTTTTTCCATCCTGTGGTTGTGGAGTCCTGCTTTTGATTTTGAGCGTGGCGGTTCCCGGCGTGGCCTAGCCAGTAGTGCTAGTGGCAGTGGTGAGCTACAGGGCTGCATGCCATGGGCTGTGTCTTCTCCCTGCCAGAGGACAGGAGAGATGCTGCTGAGAGGTCAGTAAAGTGTTTGATTTACTGCTCCGTCTAACGCACAATAAGAGTTTTCTTTTAATGACAGATAATTGTTAAATCCTGCTGTTAATTTTGATAGCCAAGTTTTGCTTGACACCTTGTAAGTGATAAGTCAGTAGTCAGTGGTGGCTTGTTTCCAAAGTGAGCTCTGCGCACACAGTCATTAACTTGTTTCTAGCATAAACTGTCAAGATAGTGTTTTCACAAAGCCTACAACATTCCCAATAGGTTATGTAAGAGGTGGTCATAAAATGCATTCGACTACAAACATAATTTAATTATTGGTTCATCTGCCCCCCCACACTTTTTCCACAAGCTCTTCACATGCTGTTCAGTCACTTATGATGTTGCCATCATTGTCTGCACATATGTCCAGCCTTGTTTAATCAGTAAACAAATGTAGAGTAGCATTTGTTAGGGGGGGAGTGTTTTAAATTAAAAGCCAGGTTGCAAAACAAAAAAACAGGTGTGAGGTGTATCATGATCACCTCCACGTTTGACAGAGCCTGTGTTGCAGAGCTGAAGACTGAACCGATTCAGCATTAGAAAAGGTTTAGTTCCTGGATGGATTCATGAATGGAAAGTTGATTTTGACAGTATATACACATGCACTTGCACTGTAAATACTTCAGTGACTAAACGCCAGTGTGCATGAGAAAGGAAATGATGTCCAAGATTATGAGCCATTTGCGTGTTGTTAATTATCTGCTAACTGTGCCAGTTTGACTCTAAGTAACCTATCAGAATATTATTAAATAATAGTTTGTACTTGGAGTTACAAAGATGGGGTTATTAATCAAAACATATCTTTTGCTGTATTTACTACATGTTTAATTTTACACACGCTCAAGATAATTTTAAGCCTTTTGTCGGTCACAGTTTTCAGATACTGCATAGATTTTTAACTCCCAGCTCTTTTCGAATGATGCACAGAAGATCCTTCCTGTTGAGTGGCAGCGGGGCCGGTGAGTGTCTCGGCTGATAACATTTCAGACAGATCCTGCCAAAGCTGTCAGGAATGCTTCAGCTCGGGGGCAAAGGCTTGTTTCAAATTTCAATAAGGCTTTTACACTTTGCTTCAGAGTTAGCAGTCTGTATAAACCACGGGGGCCCGTTGTTATGCCACGTCGGGCATCAGTCCCACATGCCTGCACACCGCCGTGCTGTGGATGGGTTCTGTAGGTTGGAAATTGTTTGTGTGAGAGACAAAATGAAATCAGATGCTCTTAAATACATCCAAGGTGAAATATAGCAAAAGCATGTATTGTCTGTATTTCTCTAAGCTTTTGTGGCTATCCTACAGTCCTTGTCTGAAAATATATTCATCTGGCATACTGTTTCTGCTTGTAGTTATGTGCAGCCGTTTTGTTCCTTTTTCAGTGCAGACAGAATTGCAGCTGTTCCCTCAGACCTTTTGATGCTAAGGGAAGCGGCGTTGCCTTTAATTTTGCTTGATAATAGATTTTACTGCCCGTGCCTTTTTATTTATTTTTTTCTTCAAACCCTGTTTGCACGTGTTATTTTGATCTGTTCCCATCCATTAATTACTTCCTGGATAAACCTGAATCAAATTACCATTGAATTACCACGAGGGGCCTATTGCATGCTTATGCTTAGTAAGTGCTTGTGATTACGGTCTGCATGACTAGCGCTTGTGTGGCTGCTTAGTCACCGCTCTGCTTCTCCTGGATGTTGTAAGAATAACTTGGAATAGACGGTTTTCCCACATTGCCTAAGTGTTGGTTGCAATATGTTTATTTAGATGCTGATTATTTAAAAATCTGTTCATTCGGACTAAATGATATGGCTGAAATCTATAAAATTAAGCTAATACAGTATTTTTCAGATATTATTATTTATCACAATGTGGCACCTTAATGAAAACGTTTACGCTTTTACGCATAAAATAATCAAAATTGATGTTTATGCAATACATCAGACAAAACTCACACACGTAAAACTCAAACTAAATAATTCATTTTTCTTAGTTTTTAGTATGTTTAAGTATGAATCATTAATTTGGAAGTCAAAGGAAGTCTGTAAATGATTTTGTTTTATCGACCAGTTCTAGTGTATTGTTGAGCTTGTTTGAACCACATAACCCCATGGGACCTTTTAATAACATAGCATTACCTTCTCCTGGTTCATTAGTTATTCCGTCACCTTTTGCTCTCTAAATAAAAGAACGCTTGTGGCGTGAATCCTTTTTTATTGATCTTCCTGGCCTCAATCTGAGCTTTAAATGCTCCACTGTTCCCTACCTGTTGTTTGGTCAGAGGTATAATCTGTGATCTGGACATCAACGAAAGGGTCAACGCCCAACAGCGAAGTCAGAACACAGATTTGGAGCCTTCTGCTTGTGATCGAGTTAGATCATTGAGTCAAATGTCTTACTAACAAATCAAATCTGTTTTGTTTTTTCCAGAGCACCCACCACGAGAGAGACAAGTTTCATCGAGAAAATGAAGAAAACAGTGAGTGATATTTTTATTGTTTTCAGTCAGCATTTCCACATTTCATTTGTGTTACAGGTCAGCAGTTTCATTTCGCCAACATATTGTCGATAAATTCTCCAGGAGCACTTTTTGTTGCTCTTGTTCCAAAACATGACTCAGGGTTTTAAAAGAAGACTGTGAGCCATCACCATGAGACAGTTTTTGTGTCCCTTCACCGCATGTTGATTGACCTTGAAGTTGTTTCCCCCCTTAGTAAAAACCTGTTTGATGCGCAAGTTAAAATGCTTAAGTTCGTTTCAGCAGATATTTTGATTTATGACCTGTAGGCAGAAAAAAAAACATTAATTAAAATGCTATGTTGTTTTCCTCCTCTTCTTCTGCTCTGTGGATGATGACTACAATGGCCTCCCTGCTTGACAATATGCTAGATGTTCTAGATTTAGAAACACTGTTTTGACTGACTGTTTTCAAGCCAGCCTTGACAAAAAGACTTGGTTTTGAATCATGTGGTTTTGTTGCAAATAGTTCAGATACCATGATGGTGGCAGAAAATAACTTTTGGCCCCTAGTGCTATTTAAATTTGTCTTTTTCTTTGTTACGAATTATCATGGCAACATTGTAGGCAAGGATAAAAATTTCAAAATCTTTCAAAATATCTACAGCATCTGTACTTGACCATTGCCTATGTTTCATAAAGTAGCCCGTAGAAATGAGAAATGGGTTAGCTTTTTATTTTAGTTTTTAAATGCACCGTATAAATGTCTTTCCATAATTTGTAACCAGGGCAAGAACATCATTGTGTTCTACGGCTCCCAGACGGGCACAGCAGAGGAATTTGCCAACAGACTGTCCAAAGATGCTCAGCGCTATGGCATGAAAGGAATGGCTGCGGATCCAGAGGAGTATGACATGGTAATAGGCATCAGGGGAACAACATACAAACCACAGAATTCTTTTGGACGTTACTCATTATAGCTGCCAGTAAATGATTTGTGGTCGTGTAAAAAAAGCATCACTGCAGTGCTGAAGAAGTCACACCTCAATGATGACAATCTGAAACTTCTGCCTCATCCAGACTTTTGTGAGTTTGATAATATAATACAGATTCTAAATGAGCCAAATAACTGCCAGGGTAATATGATATCTGCTAATTATAAATTCACTGCTCTAAAATAAAACATGTCCATGGAAGACCCAAGGACAGCACACGCTCATATCGACACATATTTCAAACAGTAATACAAATTGCACAATATTATGACCTCAGGCTTTATCCAAGAATGTGTCGCAACACTGCGGTGAGAACAAGTAGTAGAATAGATAATATACTTTTGATTTGTTAGTAGTATGTAATAACTTGCAAGCTCTTGAGGGAGCCGGTCTGATATTCAAGACAAACTTCCTTAAAATGATGAGTCCTTCAGTGCTCACTGTCTCCGATTCTGATGTCTCCATTTTCCAGGGGGAACTATCCCGTCTGTCTGATATTAAAAACTCCCTTGCCATATTTTGCATGGCCACCTACGGTGAAGGAGACCCAACAGATAATGCCCAGGACTTCTATGACTGGCTGCAGGAAAATGATGACGAAGACCTCTCCGGGCTAAACTACACTGTGAGTCTTTACGCTCAAGTTTAAGTATACACGAAGTCTTTTCAAATTCTTTCAGGCTTGTAAGGCATGCTGAGAATAGGATAACTTGTCATAAAAAGTAATTTCATAGGAAGTGCGTTGCCCATTTAGTAAGAAAAACACAAAGCACTAAAGGGAAAGCAAAATGCATAGTGTGCATGATGTCAGTGACCAGAGATTGTGTTACATTTGCTGTTCTGCGTGTGTGCGAGCTTTGTTTCATGCAGCCAAAAATAATTTTGATTATCAGTTACACTCAGTTATTTCTCAGTTAATCGTTTGGTTGATACAACATCATAAGACAGTGAAAAATGCCCATCACAATATCCTAGCGTCCAATGATATTGTTGTTTTGTCTGACCCAAACCCCAAAATATCCAATTTATTGTAATTTAAGACCAAGAAAAGCAATTAATTATCACATAAGAGATTCTGGAACTATCAAACATTTAGCATTTTTGCTTAAACTATTAATAGTTTAAGTAATTTTTATCAAAATTTGCAGATTAATGTTCAATTGGTTAATGGACTTAGCAGCTTGTGTTTTTCAATGTACACATTTACTGTATAGCTTCTGTTTTGCTCGCTGCCTACCCCCTGCACTATAATGAAAGGTGATTCCGTTTTTAAAGAATGCAAATGATTTCCATTTGATATTTTTTAGAGGTAATGTTGCAGATTTTGTTCACTATTTCTGCCTCACGCTACGTCAGGTTGCATGTCTGTCTTTTGTGTGCATCATTAATGAAAGGGCTTTGTGTTTGCGTGTGTGTCATTGTTGGGATGCAGCGCCTCTGGCCTCATTTCAGTGAAGAACTGTGTTGTAGGAAATCTAGTTAAATTCTTGGGCACAGTCACATCCTTCCTCCCGTATTATCTATTGTCTCTCTGGTCTGTATTAGAGCAGCTCCATACATGACAGTCACTGAGAGGTTTGCAGGGCCTCTTATAAGACATCAGTTTGGCCTGTTGTTTTCATTTTATATTTTAGAAGAATAAATTGCCTGATGACAACAACTTGATGATATGTTCACCCTTAAACTGAAAAGTAGTCAAATATCTGCACTAGTTAATTAATTTTAGATTAATAATGGCAACTTTTAATAATTGAAAATCATAAGTACTCTTATTTCCAGCTTTTGTTTGTTTGGTTCAGGATTGAGCCAAGGCTGCTAACTCTGTTCTGTCTCCAGGTATTTGCTTTGGGCAACAAGACCTATGAACACTACAATGCAATGGGAAAATATGTTGATAAAAGGCTGGAAGAACTTGGGGCCAAGCGCATCTTTGACCTTGGTTTAGGAGATGATGATGGCAAGTAAGTGACCTTTTAGCCTTTGACTTAACATTTCTTTGGATATTGAAGTGTTCAGTGCAGCACAAATAACTTTGTTACAGTGAGGAAAATAAGTATTTGAACACCCTGCTATTTTGCAAGTTCTCCCACTTAGAAATCATGGAGGGGTCTGAAATTGTCATCGTAGGTGCATGTCCACTGTGAGAGACATAATCTAAAAAAAAATATATCCAGAAATCACAATGTATGATTTTTTTAACTATTTATTTGTATGATACAGCTGCAAATAAGTATTTGAACACCTGAGAAAATCAATGTTAATATTGGTACAGTAGCCTTTGTTTGCAACAGAGGTCAAACGTTTCCTGTAGTTTTTCACCAGGTTTGCACACTGCAGGAGGGATTTTGGCCCACCCTCCACACAGATCTTCTCTAGATCAGTCAGGTTTCTGGGCTGTCGCTGAGAAACACGGAGTTTGAGCTCCCTCCAAAGATTCTCTATTGGGTTTAGGTCTGGAGACTGGCTAGGCCACGCCAGAACCTTGATATGCTTCTTACAGAGCCACTCCTTGGTTATCCTGGCTGTGTGCTTCGGGTCATTGTCATGTTGGAAGACCCAGCCTCGACCCATCTTCAATGCTCTAACTGAGGGAAGGAGGTTGTTCCCCAAAATCTCGCAATACATGGCCCCGTCATCCTCTCCTTAATACAGTGCAGTCGCCCTGTCCCGTGTGCACAAAACACCCCCAAAGCATGATGCTACCACCCCCATGCTTCACAGTAGGGATGGTGTTCTTGGGATGGTACTCATCATTCTTCTTCCTCCAAACACGGTTAGTGGAATTATGACCAAAAAGTTCTGTTTTGGTCTCATCTGACCACATGACTTTCTCCCATGACTCCTCTGGATCATCCAAATGGTCATTGGCAAACTGAAGACGGGCCTTGACATTTGCTGGTTTAAGCAGGGGAACCTTCCGTGCCATGCATCATTTCAAACCACGACGTTTTAGTGTATTACCAACAGTAACCTTGGAAACGGTGGTCCCAGCTCTTTTCAGGTCATTGACCAGCTCCTCCCGTGTAGTTCTGGTCTGATTTCTCACCTTTCTTAGGATCATTGAGACCCCACGAGGTGAGATCTTGCATGGAGCCCCGTCTGAGGGAGATTGACAGTCATGTTTAGCTTCTTCCATTTTCTAATGATTGCTCCAACAGTGGACCTTTTTTCACCAAGCTGCTTGGCAATTTCCCCGTAGCCCTTTCCAGCCTTGTGGAGGTGTACAATTTTGTCTCTAGTGTCTTTGGACAGCTCTTTGGTCTTGGTCATGTTAGTAGTTGGATTCTTACTGATTGTATGGGGTGGACAGGTGTCTTTATGCAGCTAACGACCTCAAACAGGTGCATCTAATTTAGGATAATAAATGGAGTGGAGGTGGACATTTTGAAGGCAGACTAACAGGTCTTTGAGTCAGAATTCTAGCTGATAGACAAGTGTTCAAATACTTATTTGCAGCTGTATCATACAAATAAATAGTTAAATAATCATACATTGTGATTTTGGATTATTTTTTTAGATTATGTCTCTCACAGTGGACATGCAATTACGATGACAATTTCAGACCCCTCCATGATTTCTAAGTGGGAGAACTTGCAAAATAGCAGGGTGTTCAAATACTTATTTTCCTCACTGTATGTGTAATTGCGTGGTTGGCAATATGATATTAGAACAGTCTAACAAGTATTCACAAACAAATGTCAAGATATATTACTCGTAAAAAAACAAGCACACAAAAATGTATTACTTTTGAATGAGCCATTTCTGTCTACATACACTGTGGGTCCCCTTACATGGATGCAGTCACTAGATTGAATATACAAAGAAGAACAACAAGTAATGGTAGTAGCAAAAAAGGCAGTGAAGAGAGAAATAGATGTGAGAGTAAGCTACTCATTGGGATACGAGTACAAATCCATTAAAAGAGAAACATAAATGCTGTGTGGCACACCTCGATAGCGCCCAAGCCTACTTATATTTGTAGAATGTACATGGTTGTCATTGTAAATAAGAAGTCTAATTTGTTGCACAAGGGTGAATTCAACTGTCTTTCTCAGCTGACTGGCCTGGTTTTGTGTTTCAGTCTGGAAGAGGACTTTGTTTCATGGAGAGAGCAGTTCTGGCCGGCCGTCTGTGAGCACTTTGGAGTTGAAGCCTTAGGAGATGAATCAAGGTTCATTATTGCTTTCAATTACTTTGTTTTTGTCCCCATGATTCTTAAATTGTCTTGTCTTCACCCTCAACAATCTTTCCTCGCACTCTCACTCTTTACCATCTTATAGGTAACATTATACAGCGAACTCACAAACACATTCACCTTTTACTTCAGAACACATGCGTTCGATTTAAAGGTGGGGTATGCGATTCTGGAGTTATTCAATACCATGATATAGAGTGAGCAAAGACACGGCAAGTAATGTAACTAACGTTAGCTAAGTTGTGTATCGGCAAACTGTCGCTAAAGTTGCAGCTGCGAAGCTAACATGCAGAGACGGTGAGACAGTCCCAGAGCCAGCAAACCAACTCCAGACAGCGATACTCACAACTCTCCTCCTTCTATAGCTAACACATCAAATCAAGCATGTCTTGGTAAACTAGAAAGTAAGCTGAATGTCTGTGGGTAAGTCATTTAATGTTACGTGACACACAAATCGTGACTGGAACAGGGTTGGAATAGTGGTCCACTGTACTACTTTGTTTCCCATTAGAGAGCCAGGGCAGTGTACACACACTGTTTTCTTTTTCAGCGCACACACAGAACAGACAGCTAGCGGACTGTGAGGAGATGTTCGCTGAATTTGACAAAAAGACGTACTGGATTAGAATCGCTGACCCCGCCTTTTAAGTAACACATTGTCTCACATGAAGGTAGTTTTTTCACATGCCTATTTTTCAGTGAGCGAAGATGGCCATATTTTCAGGTCGGCTGCAATTCCTTTAGTAGAAAGACAGGCAGTGAAAGATCCTCGAGCCAAAATCTTTTTTGTTTTCTCTTTACTTCAAACATCCATATCTTGACTAAGACTTGTTATATAATGCTCAATCAGGACCTGGTTTATGGTAAACATCACCTTACATCTGTATGTGAA